TTATCCCGCAACAATCCCTCCCACTCTCTTCTGACATACCCTTCATCCTCCCCTCTCAATCCTATCTCTCCACCGGTGACAGCTCGTCTCGCGTTCCTTCTGTCTCCGCCATGCCTGCCACCACGGCGGACGCCCTCTCCCTCGTTCAGCGCACCGTCACGGTCGCTCCTCTAGTCCTTCTCTCCGTCGCAGATCACTACGGCCGCTCGGCCAAGGGTACCCGGAAACGTGTGGTTGGTGTGCTGCTGGGTGAGAACTCGGGTCAGAATGTCCGGGTATCGAACAGCTTTGCGGGTGCGTCATTGACCTTTTATTACCTTCGGTATCTCTTTCAGTGTCCACATGCTGACAGTTCCTCTCCCAGTGCCCTTCGAGGAAGATGAGAAGGATCCCTCTGTTTGGTTCCTAGATCACAACTTTGTCGAGTCGATGAGGGACATGTTCAAGAAGATCAATGCTCGTGAGAAGCTGGTTGGGTGGTATCACTCGGGCCCGAAGCTGCGGGCCTCGGATTTGGAAATCAACGAACTCTTCAAGCGCTACACACCGAACCCTCTGCTGGTGATTGTGGATGTCCAACCGAAGGAGGTTGGCGTTCCTACGGATGCTTACTTTGCCGTGGATGAGATCAAGGATGTGAGTAGCAATGCGCGCCATCGTGACGGGCCTCGTCTGTGGACTCTTTTGAACTAATCATCACAATCTCTGTAATAGGATGGCACCACAACATCAAAGACCTTCGTCCACACCCCGTCTATAATCGAAGCCGAGGAAGCAGAGGAAATTGGAGTGGAGCACCTTCTCCGGGATATCAGGGATGTCGCTGTCGGAACCCTCTCTACCCGCATAACGTCGCAGCTTCAGTCGCTGCAGGGCCTGCACCTGCGTTTGCGCGACATCGGCCAATACCTGCAGAAGGTTCTTGATCACGAACTCCCCGTCAACCACGCCATTCTGGGCAATCTCCAGGACGTCTTCAACCTCCTCCCCAACCTTACCACACCAGCCGCCACGCCGCGCATCAGTGGCGCCCCCGAACAGCCGTCGGAGAACAGCGAACTCGCACGGGCCATGAGCATCAAGACCAACGATCAATTAATGGCGATCTACTTGAGTAGCTTGATCCGCGCCATCACCGCATTCCACGACTTGATCGAGAACAAGATCCAGAACCGGCAGCAACAAGAAGAGAATGAGCTGAAGAGGGAGCAAGAGGCCAACGCGGCCAAAACTGAGAAGGAGGCCGCGAAGAAGGCCAACAGCACCGCCAATGGAGAGCAGAAGGAGGGTCAAGACAAGGAGAAGGCCAAGAAGAGCCAGAAGGAGTAGACGGGTCAGGGACTCTATGCGATACGATCATCTAGAACAATGCAGTCCATCGAATGTATATTACGGTAATCTCTACGCGGCCGATTGCGACCTCGGGGGCATCTGCTTGTTATAGGCCAGCAACGATGCTGCTATATCATCTGTATTGGTAGGATATATCCTCGGAGCAGCACTTGCGTGAGATATTGTCGAGGGTGAATTTATGGAACTGCAAGCTCCGAAAGCTTTCATAGTGGACTCCACATTTTGGAGCCGTTCACAAGCGGCACAGTAATAGTAGTCTTTGTAGACCGGCACGTATCCAACAGACGATCATCCCACTGCCCTGCACACGTCATGCCATAGCGTTGCTGGGTCATCTTCCACGTAATGGCTCCCAGCCATCATGACTCAGGTCTGAATAACATCGAGGGCCCCTCCACCACGATCCTCAATGGGACCTAGTCAATGAGACAATGAGTAGTGTTCCACTCCTCAGTACACAGAGACAAAGCATACCATGCATGTACTCCACCCAGAAGAAGGACAAAGAACAAAACACCCAAGAATAGGTTTGAATCCCTTCACCGACTCGAAACATACAACGAAAAAAGCCAGCCTAGAGCCTTCATCATCCACCCCACCCAGCACACCAGCCCGCCAATTCCTCCGCACTGACAATGGAAACAGACCTCCCTTCTCCGCCCCCAAAAAGACCCGGACACCGCACGGCCAGGCAACAGGCCAGAAGGTGCTTGCACACGGGGGGAGAGGAGCGAGTGGAGTTCCTGGTGAACGAACCCCCGAACGGAAAGTGGTTGTCCTTTGTTACGGATAGGCTATCGTGACCAGTGGTGGAGGATGAATCCTCCTCTTCGGATCCATCGGGTCCTGAGTCTCGAAATGCATTCAGGGTAAACGTAGGACACGTGCAGTTCCAGGCCTTTAGGCGGACTTCGTAGCCTTTTGGGTCTGGTTCTTTGGTGTGATATGATGAGGTTGAAGTTGAGGTGGAGAATGGGTCGCTTTGATCGGGGGAAATGGTAGATGCTGAGCGAACATAAAAATAATCATGTATGTCTTTGGTGGTAGCATTTGTTGTTGAGGAATGATGGTGGGCTGTAGGGTGAGATGTTTGACTGCTGCTGGTATTGGTCGTGTCGTTGCAGATGAACCGGTTCACTAGATTCCTATCCAGGATGTCCAGAGCGAGAAGAAGCTCATTTGGAAAGATGCAGTGGAGTGTTAACATTATTGTCTTAACTTCTGCCATTTGGGATGGAGGGAGAGTAGAGAGGGGTGTGCGGTGGTGGTGTCGGGCTGGTGGTTGATGCCGGTGGTCATGATTACTGTCTACGGGCGGGATGGTGAAGGTGGAGAGGTGGGAGATCAATTGATCGATAAATTGGGCAGTTGAAGGAATTGTTTGGGAGGGGAGTTGATGGTCTGACTGGTTTTGAGACGCCATTGGGGAAAGTGTAGCTGGAGATGAAAAGTGTAAGATAGTTCTGGATAGTAGAAAAGGGCGCGGGAAGGTTACAACCCGATTGATTAGGGAATTTCGCTGTCCTCGATAAAAGGTCGCATGTTACTAGCATCTCACAAGTATGATATCAATAGAATCTTGAAAGTTTAAATGGTGATAGCTAATGGAAAACCCAGCGTAGGCATTGTTGAATCCATCAAATCTCGAATTGGTCCGAACGCGACAGGACGCTAAGCTGAAGTACTATGGAATCATTGCATCGAGGTATCCGCACACTAGAAAGAATATATAATCGAACAACACAACTACCATTTCAACCGCTACACGACTTCCAGCAGATTCAAGCCCAACCTATGAAGCGTCTTTCTCAAGAGAAGCGCCCCCGCCCCCCCCCCTAAGCAGATCGAGGCCGCTTCTGGCAACTGGCTTTTGTAATTCTCCCAGAAATAACCCTATCTTGCGCACTTCCCGAAGGTCTTGCTGACCCGTTGTCTTCCGTGCGGGCACTGAGTCGTGTTTGTGTTCCAATGTCTCGTACAGGTGTGTCCGGCCGTGGTCCAGCGTCATATGGCTCGGGTATAATATCTGGCTTGAGGGGAATGATAGCTCGCCCTGTGAGGACCTCTCTCGTCTTTCGGCAGACAAGTCTAAGCCTGACCTCGGCATGTTGAACCTTTTTCCCCGGTTTCAGCCAGACAAGGGGCCCATCCCCCTCAGGTATGACCAGCTGGTCGTCGACTGTCCATTTCAATCTTCGTCCCTTTAGGTGAATGGATTGTTCCAGGCATACAGCATTATGAGGCGCGATGCTCATCGAACCTGGGCCAGGTTCTGGGGAAGAGCCCCTTGGGGAGCCTGCATCCGGGCCGCCATGACATCCAAGGTTGCTGGGCGGTTCATCGTTGTCAGTTGCCTGCATGGACGGAGCCTGATCTTCCTCCCAGACCCCTGATCCAAGATCTAATGGCCTCTCGAGAGGCACACGGTGGTAGACCGCCCAACAGACGCGATCATGGTAGGGAGGCTTGAATCTTTTGTGGTTATCCACACCAAAATCCAGACAACTTTCCAGCGATCCATAAGTATTGGTTTCCATGTCGTTTTGATGTGCCCACTTATTATCTGGTCCCATGACAGCACAGGTGTAATGGCCCATCTGAATGTCCGTCTCATGTGGCTCATGGAATACTATGCCGAAAAGTTCATAACGAGCGCAGCCTTCGATTTTCACTGTATCACTCAATAAGCCAGGTGGGAGTTCTATGTCTTTTTGAAGCCAGACTGGAACCCTAATTCTCCTGGGCTCATTCGTGATCTTGTCGTATTTCATTCTGGGAAATTGAACAAGAAGAACTTCAGGGAGGTATAAAGCCTTCTCAGACATAATATGATCTGTCTCTTGCCTGCACTTGCCACACTTTCCCTTCAAATGCTCTGGCTTGTCTAGCAGTCCTTCCTCGATGTTTGCGTACCCAGGCATATTTTCATCCTCAGGAGCATATACCATGAAGAATTTTTCATCAGGCCGATTCTTTGATCTCCCGCATTTGCAGCACTTGTCGTTCCTGCTCACTCGAATCTTGAAGATATCGTTCAGTTCGCGGCGGCTATATTCAAGTTAGTATCGGGGGGTGTGGCGTACGTATGAAGAAAGAAAGAACCTTACCCCTGTTCATCTACCTCTACAAGTAGCTGCTGGAATATGCTTTCCATGAAATCACGCGCATCCTGCTGCCCTTCGATATAACCCTTCCAGGAGGTCTTTGCAAGTATTCTCCACAACGGTTTCAGGCATCTCTGTAATCTCTGCGTTCCATCATCCTTTTCGACCCAATATAGATAATAAAGACGATAGAGACAACAAGTCAAACACTTCTGCAGTTTTGGAGTACACGCTTCGTGGGTTTTGCGATATTTTATAAGCCATTTCAGAAAGATAGGCGTATTCATAAGTACAACAAGCACCACGTTCCGGTAGCATAAAGTACCTGGATTTTTGAATCCCCTGATTTTCTCCCGACTGAATCCCAGAGGGACCCAGCCAGAGGTAATAAGGTCATCCTGCCAGTCATTTAGTCAAGTAATCTTTGGCTAGCTCGGCCATCCATGAGTACATACCGATTCTGGTGACTGTGACAGCCGTCGATGTGGTAGTTCCGGTTCCGGTTTTGGCTCGCTCATATCTTGGACTATCAATATCTTTCGTTCCTTGTCCAGCGAATAGTAAATATAAAGACAGCTGTATGAGTGTATAGCTCGAGAGTAGACGAGCTTAGCAGGATGAAAAGGTGTTCTGTATCATGATCAAGGAACATGCCCGCAAAGGAGAGTGCTGCTCGCTTTATATTTGAAAACCACATAGCGACAAGGTGGGAATGAAAGAAAATGCATCATCTCGTTTGCACTTGGTGCAGGGATCTCTTCGCCCTCTGATCTCTTTGAACTGCTTAAATCGAGACAGCCTTGCGCGCTATTCAATGAACGGTGCCGTGTGGTCATTTGTTTCCGATGACAGCATTGCTATTGACTCAAAAGTAAACATAGAGATTCAAAAATATGATCTTATATATAGGCTTTGTTTGAGGATGCTATCCAGACACTGTAGCCCTTGTGAATACAGAGAAACAAAGGACCATACAGCTTTGCAGCGGTCATTGTCGACCACCTCTATAATGGCCAGGTCTCTCAGAATAGAAAATTAGGATGCCTGAACAAAGAAAAATCAAGGTGCCTATTATGGTTGTTCTTCTGGAGTCCATCAGTGTTCCGCATCCTGTTTGTTCGAACTAGTGGGTGGTATAGTCACAGCGATGTAGGCCTGAGGACTTGGGGAACGTTGTACCCATGCATAAGGAGCTGAGCAGAAAGAAGCCCCAACATATCTATCTAAGAAGTGTTCAATTGAAGTTTCCGGGTCCTTGATTTCCTATTCAGTACTGCGTAGTAGACATTAGAGTCACATGATAGAACAGATGTCACATGTTAATATCACTCTGCGACTCTTGCTTCCTTCATCATCACACATCCAATGCCCATGTGACGTGTTCAGCTATTACAGGACATCGGATACTGATTTCCTTATTCTACCAGCAGCTGCTCACTCAAGTGTTGTACGGAGCGATTCAGCGCAGGGACTGGGTCCCGATTACGGAGTACTTGCATCCTAGTTTGCTGTATGGCCTTTGCAATGACGTCCTGAAAAACTCCCGACGGCCGAGATCGAGTGGGGTTCAACCCAAGTTCTGGCCGGCTGCCAGACCACCCGCGCGGAAATGAGAATTCCAGACTTGACCAGTCAGGTACACCCTGACCCGGTCCGGCAGACAAATCCATAGTACCCAGCCCTGGTACTTGCGACAAGGACTACAGGTTTCCGGCCAGTCCAGCCTGGGTAGATTACCCTTAGTTGGTTCTACGGAGGTAGCGAACGATGACGGGGCTGGCGCCCTCTACGACAAATGAGATGGACGTGAGCTCTAAGAGTTGTCTCGAACACGGGAAGTTTTCGAACAGGATTATTGCAGCGGGATACGGCACCTGGCCGTTCAACGGTTGTGTCAGTGTCAATGGTTCAGTAGATAGGCTATGATGACGGGTATCCGTTGGAATCAGTTCACCACTGGTTGTTAGGAGAGGCGCCCAGCTATGATGGTCAAACCGTCCATGTCACACGAGCCCGTTGCCAGTGTGCTTCTGCTGTGTCCGTTTGGTCCTTCATGTGTGCTTTGGGAGGATCCGATTCGATCCGCTTTCCTGCTCATGTATGTCAATAAAGCGGCAGGGATGAAGGGTTATCTGAAACACTTAACATGACCATTGTATAGTACAAGTTAAGTTACTATTCGCTCCCTCATCAGCCGCTTTCCCTCCGTCATCCTCTCCCCCTCCAGCCCAAAGTGATACGTTCAATCTACCACCAAACCAACCAACCTATAGCCGAACACAACCAGGATGGAGAAGAGAACCTGACGCGAAACCAGGAAAAAAAAAAGAAAAAAAGGAAATGTCCTTCGAGTCTAGACCACCCGTCTTTCACCGATGAACTGGTTCTTGCTAGTCCAGTAGTGTCCGGAAAATATGCATCGCGATATTAAATTCCCCTCCCTCCTCTTTCCCTAAGTAATAAAGTATACTCTCCCATTGTTCTGTCCTTCCTCGATCGCGATCCAAAAACCTTCTAATTACTAGATCATGGATACTAAAGTAGACTTAACTTTGGTCGAACAGACAATAAGACTCCTCTCTCAACCAAGATAACCCACGACTAGATAAATTAAATCATTTCTAGACGCGTGGTAATTTCCTACCTTTCCCCACAACCCGGCCTCGGTTTTGGTTTCATCTGGTCATCAAGTGGAGCGGAATTAATTTACCACCCAAACAAATTGGCCTTTCCTCCCGACAGCCCGGACGGACCCCTTCAAACCAAACCAAGACCAAACCAAACCAAACCACCCCTCTTCTTCCTTTCTCACACCACTACGTAGTACTCCTCTCCCCCTCTTCGTTTTCTTCATCATCGTCAGCTAGATAGATACTAGACTCGAACTAGAACTAGAACTAGACCGGCATCATATATTGATGACACCGGGACGAGCTTTAATTAATCTCACGCTCCAAGTCAATCTCTATCGGCTATCTCACCACAAAACTTTCCGTTGGGTCGGTCCTCTCTCTCTGTGTTCTAGTTTAGTCTAGTCAAGTCTTTCGACTTTCTTTCCTTCTGACCGACCACATGGTCTGATTCGGGAGAGAGAATGATAGACGAACATACACAGAGCAAGGTAAGAGAGCTGAGACCCAGTCCAGGAGCGTCGCAATTCCAAAAAAGACAGAGGGGCCATTCTATCCTTGGTTCTAATCCAAAACCTTCCATTTTACATTTTACATTCACAAAGTAAATAATGTAACCACTTACTTCACACCATTCTCGCTCTCGCTCTCTGTCTCCCTCCCATGTGAAATGGATGGTTAGCGAACCTTTGACCCATCGGGCCATTCTCCTCCGTAGCAATCAAAGTCCAACTACGAAGGAAGTTGTTAGATAACACTTTAAACCTGCATCTAATCTGTGACGAACCATGGTTTCCTGCAGATTAACCAAGTCGGAAAACCCTTACTTGAGAATTATAGAAAAGAAAAAAAAGAACGCAAAAGTGGATGATAGATTCGGGCGGAGTACCTCAATCGCGGAATTGCGTTCTCTCTTGTGAGTGACCTGTCTGCCAAAATTTCCATAAGTAGCTAAAGTAACTAACGGAGTTCTCCGTAGGTCGGGTTCGGTTTGGTTCGGTTTTCTTATTTTTTATATTTATTTACTTTACGTTAGCTCTCCATTCAACATTAATATTATCCAGGTAGCTGGGACGGCGCTGCCAGTAGAAGGATAGTACCAGTACCGGGTTTTGCTCGGTCGGTTTTTTGCCTTAGTTATTTAGTTAATGACTTAGTGATTAGCTTTCTTTCTACTCCAGACACATCTATCTAGTGAGTAGATACTTACTTTGCCTTGGGTTTGTTCAATTGCCATTAAAGGTAAAATGATTATTGGCTTGTGCTGTCGAGGCAAAAGGTAGGAAGACTTACTGCGCAAGTAGTTAGGTATCCCCAGTAGTATAGTATGTATGCATAAAGGTAGGTTCGTTTGTTCGTGTTCAGCTGTGAGTGATCGGCTGAAGGGGAGGGGTAGGATACAGTTGGTGGTAGATAGGTCCCACCATCAATTCCTTCCTGCAGGTCAGTAACTAACTGACTGACCAACTACGCACCAGTAGATGCAGATGCAGAGACCGGCAATTGAGAACAGGTCATACAAAGTACTGCATAAAAAAAAGAAACTATAGAAAGGGAAGGAAGGGAGGGGGGTGATCGAAAAACTAAAGATACTCCCAAAATTCGGGCCTACAGTATATGGAGTATACAAAACAAGCAAATACCCAGAGGGAAGGGGGCGAAAAAGCAAAAGCAAAACAGAAATGAAAAGACATGGAAGCAAGGCAACGAACAGGAGAAGGGAAGGAAGAAAAAGACATGGATAATTCTTCCATGGACTTTGTATGGGTCTTGTTTAGTCTGCCTTGGGAAGGTGACAGCTGAGTTCCTTTGCCAGCATCCACATAAACCCACTTTGCGAGGGTTGAACGTGAGATAAAGCTCCCTAAATCACTTACTGACTACCTAATCATCTTACAGAGGGATAATTGCGGAGTCGGAAAGCCACACACTATACATCACACAATGCGAGTATCAGCACTCGTTGGAACGGAGGCTCGCCCTTTTTTGAAGCTGGGCTATATCTAATCTATACCATGGCCTTTGGAAATGATGGATACGTACTAATACCACTAGTTACTACCGTAGCAAATGGGCACCTAATCAAAAGGAATCAATTCATCTGGTAGTACAGCGTATTGCTGTAGATACCGGAGTAGAGTTGGGATAATTGCAAGCTCCCTCCAAAGTTCGCATCTTGATGCCAACAAAGTACCTGCTTCGGTGGCAGCCAATTCTAGGCCTCCAGTTGACTCGGAGATCCACTCAGGTTGGGCAGCGCCGAGCGAGTATCAAGCGTTCTGCTCCAGGCTCCATAGCCACGGGACCACCTTTCAGCTTTGCCACGAAGCGGTGATCCAATGCCCGTTTCGATTTGTCTTCCAGCCCAATGCAAGCCTTCCGATGTCTGATTTGTAGACTGAAACCTATCCGTTGTTCTGTTTCCTCTCCCGGCAGCATGCTTGCCCACAGAATTCCCGGTAACATACTCTCTCTCTCTCTCTCTCTATCTATATTGTTGGGTCACGCCAAAGTCCTAGTATCCATTACTACCACCCTGGCCCTGCCTACCCCACAGGCACAGACCATGCGATTGAAACTTTGGAGTACGTATCTTCAGGAAGGGATAAGGTTGCCTGGACATGGATAGAGTTGGGTTACTAGTATCGACTATCGAGATTATCGGTCACTCGGGCTAGCTGAGTTAAAAAAATATCACACCACCAAGGAGGGATGGATAGGCTAGGATGATCGTAACAATTCCCCAAAATGAAACAAGCACCACAAGACAAGTCCGATGATGATTTCCCAGTTTCAGCCATAGCCGAGTCTTGGCATCTAGATCACGGCATTGCAGTTATTTCTATCTGGCAGATGGGCCGAGGAGATGTATAGGAAATAGAGCGCGGAAAGGAAAGGGGGACAAGTAGATATGGCCCCCGAAGCGGTAGAACCGAACCCTCAAGTCATGACACACGGACATGAGGATGCGACCATGGGTGTGTGGGGGGAAGAGAAGAGAGGGCCCTCTTTGAGGTCGTCGGACATTTTCCTGCGACGATCACTGCGAGCCAGGAATAGATACAGCAATGGAATCCTTGCCCGACTCCACTGGCGTTGGTCCAATGACGGCTGTCAACCACCCTCGAAGCCGTTTGGACTTTCTGGTCAACGTCGCTAACAGACGTACTTACTGCGCTCTAGACTGGAGAAAAGATCCGTCTCCTTCCCAAGAAAGACATGTAGCCCCGTCGACGGCTCAAAGTGCCCAGCGGGTCGGAGTGTGACCGCCTTAACCAGATGTCCACTTCAGTGAGCTCTTGTTCAAAGCTACTAAACATTGGTTGAGTACCGAGTATGCTCAGATGCGGTAAAGACGGAGATGAGCGAGCTTCCTGAACCCTCATTGGGATGCTAATAGACATTTGAACCCCCTCCCAATGCTAGCGGCCGGGGACTGATCTGCTTGTTGTACAACAAGCTTCAAAAGTTTACAGCTGTTTTGACCGAAGTGCAAGAGACATGGAGTGGGAAAAGAAAAAAAACAGAATGAATAAATAAATGAATTGTTTTACAAACTTCATGCGCGTGTAACTCCGAACTTGCCTTGAACACGAGGGGAGGGGCGATAGACCGCAACAAGTCAAGGTCTACTTCTTCAACCAACCGGATGTGGAGGCTGATCTTGCCATCTGGCCACCCGTTACGCAGTGGAAGACTTGAGTACTCCGTACTAGCACTACTACTAGCAGCAGAGACTATAGTACTTTTTGCTTGGCCCCTAAGTACTAGTCAACTATCATAAGGGGTGATGGTTATGATGATCGGCTGGGAAAGCACTTAGTCTGGCCACAATCGGGATTTGGATCATGTTCGTTCGGGCCCTAGACTCGACTCAGCAAGCAGCAGCTTGACGCGTTTCGACAAGAAGAGAATATTGTAGTAGATGCACGAAAAAGTTCTAGACCAACGGCAGAGCATAACCCACAGTTGTTTACGCTATACTTAGTGTTTCGCCTGGTATGGACGGTGGCATCATCATCGTCATTGGGCAATATTGTTGGAGGACAAATCCAAGAGAATGATGAAAGGGAGAGCGAAAGCAGAGTGTTTGTCGATAAAAGTCAAGATCAATCGACAGAAGAGCAAAAAAAGGCCTCATAGAGAGGTTGCCATGATAGTGATGATGATGATGATGATGATGTTTATCGATCGGGTCAAAGCTGGATGTGTTACAGTAACATGGCTCGCGTCACGAAAGGGCCCATGTTTGCGTCGTTCAGAACCATGAATTCTCCGAATGGATCTATCCGGCGGTGACTTACCGCCTCTGGTTCCATGGTAGGTGGACTGCATCTTCTGCGTCACCCTGGATGCCATTGTGTTTTCATGGATTGCTCGTTCGCCAAAACTATAATTGGTAAATTCGCAGCCTGTTTTCCATGGTTTGTCGGTAGAGTCGCACCGAGCTGTTTAGAAAATCAGGAAAGCGGAAGAACAGCCATTGGCAAGTGTAATCAATTCAAGGCAACGCAAATTGAAAGCTACTTTGCACATGAAGTTACTACACATGATGGTAGAATGGTACATGGATACTTTTGAGGTAGGTAGGGTACGCAGCTACCTACGATGCGAATTGCGTTGCCACATCGAGTTGTACGTAATGCCCATTGGAGTGTATACTAGACAACGGCTTGATTACCGGTGAGAGTGATTAGATAGCTGCTAGATACCAATTAACTATAATTACTACTTTACTACAAGTAGTAGTAAACACTCAACGCTGAACAGAGCCAGTTTGAAGGGGAATGGAGATTATTGGAGCATAGAGGTGAGGAAGGAGGAGGGGAAAGTAGAGAGGAGGAGGGGGGGCAAAATGGGACTACTAGTACTTCTAAGAGTATAGTACACAACTAACTACAGTTAGGCTAAAGAAGCCTCGTAGCGAGTAATCCGCCCCTTCACCCCTCTCCCAATAAGGCCCATCAGTGCGAGAGAGAGGCAGAGAGAGAGAGAGAGAGAGAGAGAGAGAGAGAGAGAGCTTCGAAATCAAGCCTCGCGCCCTGCGACCGCCAGTGCGTTTGCCATGTCACTGAGTAATGGAACGGACTAAGCTGGCGTTGTCGGTCCCACTTAGCCTGTCAACACGGGGCCCAAGCTGGTGCTGATTGGGCATGGATGGCCTCTGGTGCCTCCGCCACTCTCGTCGGAAGAATGCTTTTAAGGCAAGCCACCGTTTGACCCGTCTCCACTGGTCCCTAGGTAATCTTGCAGGCTTGCAGCTGCGCGGGAAACCCCTTGTTCCCGCTGGCCCCGTCGTTCGATGTCCAGCTGTGATCCAGGTTCTCCGCAGCCCTCCCTCTTTTTACCCAAACATACCCATTGTTACCCTCTGTTTCCCTGAACCAGAAGATGGTTCTCTGTTAATTATACCTTTGAAAAGGGAATGCTTTACTTTACCTTACCTACTTAGTAGTATGTAGGTAGCAGTGAGCTCCTAGTTAGGACTGGTAGGTGACGGGAGTTAATTGAAAAAAAAATATTGGCATAATAAGCCAGTCAAAAAGAAATGAGAGACGAACGGCACATGGCCCTCGTCCCCTCCTCCCGAAATCACAAGTGTGAAGGACCTACTGTGTTGAAGACGATGTGAATGGAACATTGACCCATCAATCTTTGCCATATGGATACATAGTACCAGAGACAAGCGCAGAGAGAAAAGAGACCGACGCGTCTTTGGCGGCAATCAGTTCGGTTTAGCGAGTCTGGAAGCACGCCGTACCAGCACTTTTGTGGTTCCAGCCCAAACGATCAACAGTTCCTAATTAAATGGGAGCCATCGAGACCCGGAGATCGCGAAATCTCAACCGTCATCCGTGAGGGTTTAACGGGACGGTAATCGAAACCTATGACCCCATAGTATCTGCCACAGGAATAGAACTCGAAGAGCCACAGCGGACTTTGCAACCAGGCAATAATTTGTCGCCGACCAAGATTCTCGGCAACAAGCGCTGGATTTTGAGAGGTACAGAAAAAAAAAAAAAAAAAAAAAAAAAAAAAAAAAAAAAAACAAGACGAAATAGAAGGTCGTGTATACTGTACACTATAGTGAGTGAGATATGGTACCACCTGTTCTCCTATGGCACCATGGCGCCCCTCCTTTAACAGGCAATAGACTCGAGGTGATGGTACCAATATCATAGAAATCCAAATCAAACCTCATACAATTGTTCTTCTTGTTTGAAGAAAGGAAAAGGACCAAAAAATACAAATTTGCCTACATCAGGGTTCTTATGCTTCATACATCTAAGACCCAGAAGAAACAAATGCAAATGCCTGAATAGCTCATCTTAATTATACCAGCTGATTGGGTGGGAGAATCTTTGCGTTCTTGTTATTACCACTACTGTCAGTACTTTGTTAGTAGTATTGACAAGATACCCATATCACTCTCTGCTTGTAACAGGGTCATTGACATGTTGACTGATGGGTTCGGAGAATAAGTGCGTCAAATCCGACAGGGATAAGGGTAGAAACCTTGCCTGCACATGCTTTTGGGAGATGGGGGAGATGGAAAGACAAAACAAGAAAAAGCAAAAACAGGGAAAGGCAAGAAAATTCAAAGAATAACTAGAATACAGCAGAAAAGCAAAGACCGCTCTCCAATCTCTGCTAGCCTGACGGAATAGGTAAATGGACACTAAAGACAACCTTAGGACGCACCTAGCTACAAAGTAGGAACAGAGAAGCGAAGCTTCATATTACCACTTAGAACATTAAGGGAACAGAAAAGCCCACTTACGAGAGATGAACCCGCGTTGATCCACCAGTGCAGGCTCGGCAGAGAACCATTTGCCGCCTTGTCACCTGATTGACAGCACCACGAGTGGATGTATCACTTTTTCCTTTCACTCCCTTGCTGAAAGCTGCCAGATCTCATAGGGACGGATCTCATCACTACAAAATACTCACTCATAATCTTACTTACTTCCACTCTCATCTGAACTGATCAAAAAGGCAAGGCTGTGAGGCAGCCAAATGAGTCAATCTAAATTGGTCACAACATGGACGCTCAGACTTACCCGAAGAACGGGAAAGATATTCATCATGGATGGGACTATGCTGACGTTTGGACCGATAAGGCCAGTCAATTAAGGCATGAAGTGCAGAAAGGTGGACGAGGCGAACTGGTGCTAAAAGACCCCGGATCCTAGTTAGCGCCTGGCTAGCGATATTACCTAGGACGATACTTGCCGTTCCAGGCTTGGGGTTCGTTCGCCGTTGACAGATCCATCCAGACGGTCTGGGACTAATTGGCTGGAGCAACCCATGGCCGTTGGGCCTCGGAAATTTAATTAGATTGAGCGGCGCCCAATCAAAAATACCATGAAGAAAACCGGAAATTCCACAAAAAGGATAAAAAAAAGGGAAAAAAGAAAAAAGAAAAATAACAGTAATTTGAAACAAATTGGAATAAATAAGTAACAAAATTTGTGAGAACACGGGAAGCGAGTAAATGAGCTTTATACTATGGTCCTTCTCTGAAAGCACTGAATTTCTTACCATCTGCTAGCATTAGTTTTGGCTCCCTAAAGAGTAATAATGACAGAAAGTCAGCCGATTCCTTCCCGTCCTTTTCCAAGTCAAAGTGAAAAGTACATCCCCTCTCCCTTTTTCGCCGTTTCGGCCGGCGGGTGGTGGTTCAAAGCCTCCTCTGGGGACTTGACGCCGTCGTCGTTACGCATGCTCCCCATTATCGGCCGTTTTCGCCCTCTGGTTGGAGCTTTTAAGACCATTCCACTTCCCGGCTTAGGGCGGTGGTCTTCTCCACAGGGAGGAACCATGCTCCTCAACCGTCTAATGAGATTATTTCCTCCTAATTTCTGTTCAAGACAATTACCCTAACTAACCTTCGGGTCCTATACCGGGGTTCCCGGTTGTTCAAGGCCAAGTGAAAAACAACTCCCCACCACCTACCCACTATTATTACCCACCTGTGGCTTAGACACTTGCTGCTCACTGCCCTTTCCTTCTCTAGCAATACCAATGCTGCCCCTCCTGAGAGCTACCGAACAGTGTGCTATGCATATACTCCGTACGCAACTTCCTCCTCCCTCCCACACCCACATAAAGCACCTAAGAAGCACCCCAAATGGACCAACCGAGTTCGAGTTAGGATCAGTAGGAAAGTTCGAAGATAATGCGGTCTTAATTAAGATGCAGCACAAGACAGTTTCGATTGTTCTGCCCTTCATGCGTATGCCAGGAAGTATTCCATCCTACAACTCACAAAAACGCTTTTCGGGTATAAAAAACACAGACAAGACATCTATGTACCAATACTACTATCTATACTTCGAAAGGACCAACCGACCTACACCCGGAGTGAGCAGGATAACGCACCTGAATAGAGCATCGTCGTGTGTTAATATCGACTGTGTGTCTCCATCCTGTTCACAGCATTAATATCACTCTTATTATCCATTTATATTTGTATTTTTTTTTTCTCTATCAGTACGTTTATGGTCATGACGACGATGATGTTGACGATTATCATCATGGTCGACCTAAAAGGGACTCGCGTCCCAGCTTGAGCTTTTCTTGGGTAAGTTCGGAGCAGACAGTCAACAAGTCTTGGTAGGAGGTGGGCAGGTACCTTAGGTAAGGCTAGGACGGAGTTGATTGCATCCATCCTGTTTCGCCAGCCAACTCACCAACCAACCAACCGAGTCATTAACATGACCGAGGCTGGGCTCGAACGTTCTTCCGGAGAGGTTTGACCGCCAGTAAGGCCCTTCCCGTCAAGTATAGTACCCGGGTGTGGAACCGTTTTGATAATCATCGCCGCGTTGATAATAATATTTTAATTATTATTTTGGTTAAGCCCAGTGCCGTTTTGATTCTTGCTCTGAATGGGGAGGAGGGGGTGGGATTATTGTTGAGGGAAAGATGAATCTCATCATTTCATTATCATGATGATGATGATCAGTGTTGATTTATTTTATTGTAGTTTTCTTCTTCCTTTTCCCTTCTTTTCCTTATTCCCTCCTTATTGACTTTGTTATGCGCCCACAGACAGTAGTCAAGCCAATGTACCAGATAGATAAATAGGTTACTTTTAGATCCCACTAATGGAAGCACCACAGTATCTGATACTCTTCCGTTGTGACTTGACGGCTGGGCGTGGACCTTAACCCTTTCTGTCTGACTTACTATTGGACTAAAAGGCAGTGAGTGAGGAGGAGAGGAGGAGGAGGAGGGGAGGATTAACGGTTTTCCCTCGAGGGGCAACTGGGATTGAGACAGAACAGGAAAACGGAATAGGATAGGAAGAAGGGGAGGGGAAAGGGTAAAGAAAAAAAAAAGGAAAAAAAAAGAAAAAGGATAAAATAAAATTAAATAAAAAGAATCGAAAATAATAACGACCGCTAACTAATGATCTCTAGTAATAATGTTTATTTATTAAACGGTTTCTCGAACCCACTGGCCCTGGCCTCGCCTCTTCGTTAGCTTCCTTTTCCCTCCCCATAGCAGCAATATTACTGCTGAGCTTCTTATTTGCTGCGCCAACCAGCTGTCAACGGTCCCCGATGATCTCTCTTCTTATGCATCTCCAGACGTTTCATCTGTCTTGTCTGGCCCTTTCTCCCTTTCCCTGACTCTCTTTTCCTTCCCGTCTTCTACTTCTTTACCTCTTCTTCTTCTTCTTCCATTTACCCTCGTTGACTATTCCACTCTGTTTGACTCTTGCTTATACTTAACTGGTGCCCACTGCTACCTCTAGTACATTCTTCAGCCCCAGAAGTATTCTCTTCACTGTTCAGACATACTATATTTTGATCCCTACTATATCTCGCTCGATTCCAGCTTGACGCTATCGCCTCGACACCTATCGGACATATCAACTTTCTCTCCGACCTGAAGGCCCCGTCATTATATATGACAGTCGCCAGGCGAATACTCTTGTCTGCATTATCGCTTTGCTTTCCATCCATTTCCTCCTCGCACACCCACTCTAACAGTCTCGGAGTTTAACTGGCGGCCTCTCTTATTTTACCCTATCGACACTGCCGCAGTGCCACCAATACACTCGCCACTAACTAGTGGAGATTTTTTTTCCGGGAAAACAGAAGAAGGTTCAACAAGGGTACTAATTCATCTCACTGGTTGGGACGTCTTTGGTAACCCAGGCTATCTCTCTCCTATTTTCGGTTGATATATTCTTGATCTCTTTCATCTTCTCGTTATCCTACAACTTCTTCCCTTCCCTCAGTTCGTTTCACCTCTGCATCTAGTCGGGTTGGGCTTCTGAGCTATCATTTTCTATACATCTTGGCATATGGTGCTCTTTGCTATACATATCTTTACTTGAGAAAGGAATTTTCCGCTGCGAACCGCGCATATGATTGCGTTACAAAATCACGCTATCTTGCCTCCTCCCGCCAAAGTGGATATCTCACTGCTGCTGAAGCCTCAGGATGAAGAGGAAGCCGCCTCGGTGACTACAGCGCCTAGCTACCAACCCAGCGCAATCCCACCACCCTCGGTGGCACCGACGTTGCCAGTGGCTGCCCCAGCGTCGTTGTCCTCGGTCCCTCCAGTGCCCCAGCTTACGTCCAAGATCCCGGCTACGGTGCCTGCCAAGCGCCTTCAACCTGCCCACACAGCAGAGTCGCCGGCTAAGAAGCAATCCAAGTGGTCCCCGGAGGAAGATGCCCTGATTATTGAGCTACGAGGGAGTGGCATGAAATGGGAGGATATTAGCAAACGGCTTCCTGGCCGAAGTGCCATCAGTTGCCGTCTACATTATCAAAATTATTTAGAACGCAGAAGTGAGTGGGATGAGGACAAGAAGAACAAACTTGCGAGGTTATATGAAAGGTATGTTCTATGCGACAGCGAGGCGGTGCCTCGAGATTAATCAAACGGTTGTTGATTGTCATTGCAGATTCAAGGCAGAGATGTGGTCAAAGGTAGCAGAGGAGATGGCCATTCCGTGGAGGGCTGCAGAAGCCATGCACTGGCAACTGGGAGAACAGGAAATGGCGCGTCGAGCGGGAGTAGTCCCATTCTCATTATCAAGTACCGCCATAGATCCACCAGCGCCCCGAACTCGCAGAGCCAGCACGTCTCTAGCTCGACCGAGAAAAGGATCGACATCTCGTCCAATCCCTCCTCCGCCGCAACTTCCTTCGGTGGAAGAACTTACCGCTGGAGTTCCTGCATTTGCACCGCACCCAACTTTTCCGGCTCCTCGCGAACCCTATAGATTGGGGCGACCCTTGGACCTGGGTGGTCACAGTGGTCATTTGGGACCCAACCTCGGTCTGCCCCCTCGAACCCTCCCGTAGAGGGTATGAAGAAAACGATGTCTATGCCTGTGTGTTTTGCGTTATTACGAATTGCATAGCGCTGGTTGGAGGTATATCTTCTTCACTCATGGGAGGGCTTGTCATATAAGAGCTCTTCCGAGTGCGTGTGTGCGCGTTTTTCATTATCCTCATCTGGCTTTGATCTTGCTACACATGAAAAGGCACCTTCGAGAGGAGGCCTCAATTTGACGAGTCCAATGCTCGTATCGTCATTCCTGTCGTGAGTGCTATGCAGATGTGGGAGACGGGCTTCGAGGCTGGATCTCGATGATCCCACTGCATTCATGTATCTCATGGTGATCCTGGGTTTATCCGTGTTGCGATCGCCCACCAGTTGTCTTTCTCATATCCTGATTCCAGGACATGGCCTCCCGCCTTGTTGATATCCTGCTGGAGTTCCGACTCCTTGTAAAGGTGGTAAAACCGATGGAACACCTTGGGCTCGTTGGAAGGAGCGTCCGCAGAAGTGGTTCCCTTCATGACCCAGGGAACCATTATATCTTGCGGATCACCTTTGTCCCAACCTCTACGGCTGCTTTTCTGTTCCAGGGCCCAAGCATAAATCAGCGCTCTCCCACCCGGAGAATCTTCGGTAGCAGGTTTCAGCGTACGCAGGATCTCGCGAATAGCTTGAACCCTTCGTTCAGGAGTGGACAGGTGGTGGACGACAGCAATCGAGATGGCGAAGTCGAAGAAGGAATCAGGATGTGGGAGGTGGAGAATATCGGCTATGATGGTTGAATGTGGCTGATGCTTTTGTGCAATTTGGGCCAAATTCGCGGATCTGACATGGAATGATCAGCTTTTGAATACAATGGGAGGTATATGCCTGCGTACCACAGGCTCTTTTTGGGACAGGAATGACATGAGAATACCCATATACGAAGTACGGTAGATAGAAAGAAACAAAACTGAAATTGAAATCCAATATTCCAAGACGAGACGAGATATTCTGCAAGGGAAAGAAACATACCTATCCGAAGCAACAATAAAGACCTCGCGGTTCACGGCCAGATACTTGCCATTGCCACATCCCACATCCAAACCAACGGAACCGGGCTCTAAACCTTTGAGAAACTGTTCCACAATGGGCCAAGGCTGTCGAAGGGTTAACACAGAATCCCCAGATTGCAATTGGAATATCGAGGAGGGGGGTTGAGTTCGGCAGGAAAAGAAGCGGTAGTACCTTATAACGAGTGGAGGAAAAATGACTGGCAATTTGTTGGTACACTTCATGGACATTCTGCTCTTCATACGATTCCTGATCAGCCGAGGGGATGTTTGCCAGGGCTGGAACATTCGGGGCAGCCATCTTTTTTTGTTGGTGGTTTTCCCTCTTGGTTTCCCACACTGAATAACACTGATCCTGCAGATACCCCTCCCACGATAGAAATTAAATGTGTTGTTTCTACGAGAGTTTCGGGGTCGTTCTCTAGAGATTATTGCAAGCCGGCTGTAGGCTTGGAAGCAACCCAGATCTCTGAACTGCAGTGCGATGTAGAAGTTGATTGAATGATTGGAGCTGAAAACGTGCAAAGAAACGAAACAAATTTGGATGTTTGGAGGAGGGGCCGAATTTCTCCTTCTACACACAAGACGTCATCTCGCACTGTATGCTGTATGGTATCGGTAATACTACCTAAGAGCCCACTGTATGTAATATTAATCATCACGTTAGTTACCGTACACCACGTGCTCATTGGCGGTTTGGCATCAAAGGAAGCAAACAATCCCCACGATTTATCAGGAACATTAAGACTAGTAGCAGCAATTCCCTTGCTTGTCAATTCCTCTCGGCGTTGATATCAGATATCAACAGCCACTGCTCCGATATAAGTTCTAGCTTTCCTCCATCTGGGAAGGCATCTTGATCTGGTCAGTATCATAATTACCCCCTTCCAGACATTGTAAGCTATTCAAGAACGCACCTGTGGCCCCTCCCAATTCTGTACATTCTCCTATAGTGGAAGAAGCCCCTCGCGGGGCAATTTGATTATATGAATGATGAATAGCCTGACCTTGGATATTACATTGCAATTCACTGAGGATTCCAGTCTATTCATGTCATTTCCTGTCATTCCTTGAACATTCCCCTTGACACTACTCTATCTAATTCGTGAACATAGAACGAACTAAGTCCCTCCCTGTTGGTCTGCAAACACCGACAGACACAACGACGTAGATCGTTGAGCTCCAGAAGCAGTTCAGCTTCCACAATATTTCTATCACAACCACTTTGAATAGCTTCAGACTGCTCCAAAACCATGGCTTTTCAACCTACTCCGGCGGACATTTCTGTCGCCATTACCACGCCCATGGCAAGTTCTAGTGCCGAGCCACGCTTGCTAACAGAGCGTCGTATCACTCCCACTTGGAGTGTCTCGCAGCTTAAGGGCAAGCTGGAGACTATGACAGGCGTACCTCCCGGTAGCCAGCGGCTGCTTCTCAAGTCCCCCGGTCGTCCTGACCAATGGGTTGAAGGCGACGACTCCATCATTGGGGACTGGGGGTTGATGAAGGGTTGTGAGATTGAGGTAGGTCTTGTTCTTCTGTTCATCTCGATTTCTGGAATCCCCGACGTTCTCCTGTCTCCTGTGATAGTAGATCCTGGTCAATGATCGGTTTCGATTATTACCCGCTCAACGAATCCATGTGTTGCTTCATTTGAAGACCTTGGTTTCCTTTCATTCATTTTGAAAACACGTCTCAACCAGGAGATTGCCAGTTTATATAATGAGCATTTACTCATGTCTCAACCTAGGTGCACGATACTCGTCCTCAAGCAGCCCGGCCAAATTTCACCGACCTATCATCCGTCGAGAAATACGTCCTTCCTACATCCACCTACGAATCACTCTCGAACTCTGTTCTAGCATGGAAGAAGAACCAAAAACTTGGCCGGTTCGATCCGAACGCTCTAACCCCGGAAGAGTCGATCCGTCAGCAATCAGAGAGAGATGCTGCTGAGATTCAACAGAGAGGTGAGTAACCAGATGTCCTTGAGCTTGTTACTCTGATCGGGGTGTTGGCTTAGCGAACTTTCCACTCGAAAAGGAACTGTCCTGGGGCTTAAAGCAGAAGAATTCTGATGGTTTTACTTATCTAGGTATTGCTGTTGATAAACGTGCTATCGTCTTGCCCTCGTCCCCGCCTAATATCCGACGAGGAACGATTCGATTTGTTGGTCCAGTGCCTACGATCCCTTTCCCGGGCGTGGACCCTAAGAAGGTGCAGTTAGATCCCGAGGCTCTCCCTCTCTGGGTGGGCATTGAGCTTGATGAGCCGTTGGGGAAGAACGATGGCAGCGTAGGCGGCCAAAGGTTCTTTACCTGCCCGAATAAGACTGGTGTTTTCGTGAAGCCTGAGAAAGTCGAGGTAGGAGACTTCCCGCCGTTGGACTTGGATGACTTGGATGATGAATTAATGGAGGAAATTTGATACGTTTCTTCCAAAGAGTCAAGTATGAACACACGGATTAACACAAAAATAAAGCAAAGCCTGCTACAATGTACTCCTAATCTCCCTCAAGTTACTCCGATAAATCTACAGCTCATGTCCCCTTGTTCATTGATAACCCACTGTCTGCAAAATAAAAAGGGAGAAAAGAAGGAAAGAACACAGGAGAAGAAAAGAATGGGGGACGAAGCCTTGAGGACGTGAGCAGACTTCCATCCCAACAATTTCACGTAACTAGCGCTAATCCAGAGGTCAAAGCCCGGTGCTGGGCAGGATATAGGTGGTGGGTGTTTCAAGATCATAGGAGACGCATAGAGCGAACTCGGACACAACGTTTCAAACGAGATCACGTTGCCTTACGTCCGCCTGCTTTCTGTTTGCCCTTCGGTCGACCTTTTACGCCGGTCGGACGGCCAGTCGGTGTGCTTGAATCCCCGTCCATGGCTCCGGGTTTGGTTGCCGACCCGGGAGCAGAGTCGTCGTTCTCCACCGGGACGCAGCCTTGTGTGAAGAACAGCCGGGCATCCTTATTCTGCGTATTGGCAAAACTGTAATAGTTGCCTGCAAACTCGATTAGGATTTCCATCGGTACGGTGCCAAGTCTCCCATATTGTCAAGGAAGGTTGTAATACGGAGCTCACTCACCTCTTGGTACCTGGAAGACACATCCTTTGCCGGCACTGAATCGTACACCGGATATGTCTACTTGCACCCGACCCTGGCAGATGTAGAAAACCATGTGCATTTTCTTAGAATTCTTGGGCTTCTTAACCCCTCCAGGCGGCAGTTCCACAATCCCAGAGCCCAAGAAGGGCGAACTGAGAAGTTTGGCAAACCGCCACGAGGAGTCCTTGACACTCCTTGTCTCCATCCCAGCAGGGGCGTACGCAAGGTCTACGAGCGACTACGTTAGTACACGGCAACCACAGTTAAAGGAGAGTACATACCAACGATCTCCTCTTCTTCACCAACTGCCTGGGCTTCCTCGTCCCACCTCCTGATATAGCCATGCAAAATCCCGCTTTCCTTCTCCCAGGGATCAACATATCCGTCTTCTTCATCCGAGGAATCGTCGTTTTTACCCTTCCTTGATTTAGATTTCTTATTAGGGCGGCGCTTGTTCGATTTCGGTTTCTCTGGTTCGAGTTCTTCCGTACGGATGATCTCCTTGATGGTCGATAGCGGATACCGTTGGCCCTCCACAGCTTCACCATCGCCATAGACGCATCGTTCATTTCGCCAGTATGCAAGAGGTCTGACAGAAACACGCCCGGATCGTGTATGGGTGGCAGCGCCTTCGGAAGGTACTTCGCGCTTCAGGATATAAAGACTCCGACCCTTCAATGGCCCTGTGCGGTTGACATAGTTCTCCACCACCTTGTCCAGCTCTGCATTGCCTGAAGGACTTGGGTTTTTATCAGCTTTGTCCGATACCCTAGGCTTTTTCGACGGCCGTTCTTTCTCCACTTCATCGCCAGATTTGCGTTGCGTTCGCGGCGGCCTCCCAGGACGTTTGCGTTTTGGTGCCGGCTGTTCTTCCTCAATCTCCTGCGCCTGCGCAGCCGTGGACGCTCCGGCCCTTGCACCTTTCACACCTCTAACAATCCTTGGAACAGGTTTGGCCTGTCCTCTCTTGCTGCGGGATTCGGAGACGGTTACCGGCGAGTCCAGTTCGGCGCCAGTGTCATCTTGTTCATCTGCATGGTCGTCCGTCGAGGCATCATCGCCTGCATTGAAGCTGTCCATAATGTCGTCGTGTGTCTGTGCAAATGAATGCCCGTTCTCGTCTCTGTTTAGCTGATTCTCGGTATCGCTATCGGAAAAGCCGGAGTCCATAGGCTCCTCTGTTGGTTCATCATTAATTTTATTGTTCCGTGCACCATTGACTTGGTTTAGAACCGGTGGCGCATTTATGGAACGACTAGTAAGTGGAGATACATCTCGTCGTGATTCCCCCCTCGCACTCCCCAGGCCTTTACCGTCTGAGGGACTGGAAGACGGTTGTTCGCGTTGCGGGCTTTGGGAGGATCGCAAGCCGGGAGTCCTCCGAGGTGAGCCAGTCAGCCCGGTCTTCATGGGAGAGCGCGCAACAGGAGGCGGGAAGTAAGAGCTCCGTCTGCTCTTTAGGAAATCGGTGGGGTTCGGACCATTCCCTGCCAAATAGTCATCATCGTTAGTATTCAGCTACAATAATGACGAGCTGTGAAACGCACCTTCGTCGATAGACATGCCATCCGAGCCGGTAGAATCCTCAGCTTGGTCACTGAAGCCATTCTCTTTTACGGGCGACGTCTCGGGCGAAGAGAATATCCCATCAACTTCTTCCATTCCATATTCATCACGTTTCCCTTCCTTCAACATTAACCCCGTGCGCCTGTGACAGTCACCTGCATCAGCCTCCCGAAATTCTAATAGGTGGAAGCGACTTGAACGGGAGCAGGGGATAGAACAAATACTGAACAGGGGCGATCAAGGAGAAATGGCATCAATGATACCGACCTTCCAGCTTTGCCAACATTGGCATAATCGAACTCGCGAGCCTTCGCAGGGCCCCGGGGAGCCATTGTTCCGGAGATTCGGGAGCTGTATGCGGCAGCTTTGAGAGAGGCAACGAGAGGGCTTCAGCGGTGAGACGCGTACGGACCGGGCAGGATGCGCGGGAGACCTGCCGTGTAAAACGTAAGTAGGCGACTGTAGGAGATCACAGTAGTTGCGATTTAGCGGAGAGGGGAAAGAAAATCCCAGGTCTTGGGGATGGCGAATGAATGCTGCGGAGGGGAGTTGGAATCCGTGAGGGCGGCGAACAAACACGCGCGGAAGCGCCGCTAGTCCGGAACCGTTTGGGACGCGTCCATCTTTCACTTTCAACGATTCATCATCTCAGTTGCACTCCCTGACTACACCTTTCTTTCCCTTTCGCTCGCTTATCGTGATCGCAAAGTCCCGCCTGGAATTAACACAATCATGGGCGATTCAGCAGACAACTCCACTGGCCCTCCCCCGGGGGAGTCTCCCGTTACTGCAACAGGCCTCTTCATCCCTCCAAGTATAGATCACTCTCAGCTCTTCGCCGGAGAGTCCTACTCTTACTATTCACCTTGTCCTCCTGTCATTGCAGCCTCCAAAGTCACTGAATCTGCTACGAGCTCTTCACCAAATCACCTTGTCTTGGGCGTAGACGAGGCCGGACGCGGTCCAGTTCTAGGCCCCATGGTCTACAGCGCTTTTTACTTGCCCCAAGATCTGCACCATTCCCTCTTGACTCGTGATTACAGTTTCAACGACAGCAAAGTTCTCACGCCCGGCGTGCGCGCTAATCTCATGAAGCTATTATGCACCCCGGGAAATCCCCTACACGAATCCTGCGGATGGGCCGTGAAGCTACTATCAGCGCGTGACATCTCGTCCGGTATGATGCGGCCTGGAGCGGGAGCTTATAACTTGAATGCGCAGGCAATGGATGCTACAATTGAACTCATTCGTGAGATCATTGAGGATCGCAACATGGATGTTCGAGAGGTCTACATCGATACGATTGGAAACCCCGCAACCTACCAACAGAAACTCGAAAAGATATTCCCATCACTCAGAATCACCGTGGCGAAGAAGGCCGACTCGTTATATCCGTGCGTGAGTGCTGCAAGCGTTGCTGCCAAAGTCACCAGAGACGTCGCATTGGATCTCTGTCATCAGGCTATATATGAAGACGTCCATTCGGAAGATGCATCGGAGGCGGTGGTGCCACAGAGTTGGGGAAGCGGCTATCCCTCTGATTCAAAGTGCGCTAATTGGTTGAAGAAGAACATGGATCCGATCTTCGGATGGGGCAACGAATGCCGATTCAGTTGGGGCACCGCCAAAGAGTTGCTCGAATTGAAGGGAAGGCCAAAGGTCGACTGGCCTGGAGAAGAAGAAGAAAGTACGCAGCTCAGGGACTTCCTCTTATCTTCAACCAGTAACACTACTAAAGCTCAGCACGAGCTACTGGAATGGTACGGGTCAAGGTCCACTGGGGTCCTCTCTTAGCCAAACATGAGTTTATCCTATATCATACGCAGATGCGGAGGTGACGATAATAATGACCAAATGATACCCACTTTCTTTTGCAATGTGATTGCTCTTAGGTTCTATGGAAGCATATGTAATTGTTGTATTTTGCACTTATATGGGAAAGTTGAAGCAAAAACAGAATATAGCGGTTTAACATATTAAAAGGGGATAGCTTGGGGATGGTAAGCCATCGGGTATCTAAGTTAAGTACGAGAAGACGGGCTGTGTGAAGGTACAGGAGGCTCCCGAGGTAAAGCAAAATGCTGGCAAAAATGGCAGAAACATCTGACGCTGGCAGAACACAGCGAACTTCACAGTGTTGTAGTCGCAAAGTAGTAGTTGTCCCAAAGATACTCGTAATCATCAATGACACTGCCTACCAAATCAAGCAGAGGTTTGCCCCTCATCTTGCCGGTCAGGCCTTTCAACCAGGACCTGTGTAAAAGTCAGTACAATACTCTATCTCCTTGTCGGTAGTGTGGGAAAGGCGGGAGTGCCGTACTTGGTAATGTTTTCATAGAAAGCCCCACGCATAAACCACCAACCCATCGCCCAACCTCTCTTCTTCAGTTCCTCCCGCTCCAGCCCGGTCAATCCCCGAAGGCCGCCTGCAACTCTTTCGCGAAGATCAGCTTTGGCTAGTTGTCGACAGCCATACTCCATGCCGAACCCAATGAGCCAGGGTTTCCAACTCCGCCTGTCTTTGCAGTATCGTTGCAGCATGAGCGCATAGACTACTGGTCGGAGGATGTATAGAATCTCAGCGAATTGGCCCTGGCCAGTGACTCGGTGCAACAGCGTTTTCGGTGGCTTGATATCGTCGGCCGTGAGTACTTTAGATATCAAATAGTTCGAAAGGTCGTCCACATTAGGCAGAGAAGGAAGCGACAGGCCTGTGCGAGGCATGGTCCAGCACAAATCCGACGACTTTTCGCTAACAGGTGTCTGCATGCCATTCCAGTCGCTATTGTCCTCCTCTTCCAGCGATCTGGGATCTACTTCCCGTTCAGGAAGTGGAGGACTGACTAATGGTCTAGAGTTGGTGAGACGAAGGAGCAACAGGCGACAGATGGCCTTAGCGGCTTCGATTAGGACGATGACACGCCAGCGCACCTTCTCTCCACGACGCCGAGCCGCCATCTCCCACAGCAGTTCCGTATACTGAATCATCTGTAGTGCGATGGCGATCCTCTGATACAGTGAAGAGTGGGAGGTCCAATACTTCGTGTAGCGCGCATGAGGTGATGGTGTAGGCCGCGGGATCGTTGAAGGTAGCCTAGAAATGACTCGCGAAACCAAAGAGTCATGGTAGAGAGACAGAAGCTGTACCCCTGAATGCACTTTTTCGCAAAAGTCAGTATTAAATGAACGGCTTCTTCGTCTAGGAGGGAACCATTAGGAACGCTTGAATAACGTACCGCACTCTGAGCTTATCTCCGAATCTCGGTATCGTCCTACACATGGTCTTCAGTTTTCCATTTCCTCGGCCAAGTTTCTGTACCTCAAGCTTCATGCACTAACCTGGGATGATGTATGTTAGAGACCTCAACGCGGACTCCACTTGGCCCACAGAACTAGCATTCTTCGTCACGAACTCCTCGTACAGTGGGAGCCATTTGGAAGGTTGCAACAGTGCGGCAGGTATCGGGTTTTGGGCGCGCCATGATGACTCCATATTCAGGGCAAAACCATGGAAAATATAGGATGGGCTTAATGTCCTTGATATCAAGAAGTGGCTTGAAAGAATATGAGTGGAGGTCCCCCCCAAGCGTACCCAGTCGTGTCAGCTGGGCTGGATGAACGACTTCATCTACGGCGTGAACTAGTTCCGGGTGGGTAGGGAGAGGTAGGCCGAGGTAGGCACCAGGGTAGCGGCTAAGGCACGTGTCGGGTGCTTGCCAAGAAATGTGATATTACAACAATACAGTGATTATATTAAAAAGCGACTTGGACAAACAAGCGATAATGCTTGGGTTATATTGGAAGCCCCCGATAGAAGAGCATTGGCATCTATCTACTGCCTAGGTAGCTTTTGTGGAAGTTCTCCTGTAAACCCAAGCGCAGCCCTTGAAGCCCAGTGTACTGTGTTCACTCATCTGCAAACTTCCAAAGGCCACCGGGACGCATTGCCTCTCGATATCGGTCTCGCACCTTCTCCCTTTCAATTTCCCTTGCCTCCTCATGATCGCGCTGCAATTCCTGTGTATCAGGCATATCTGTGCGCCAGTATCCCGGTGGCGATCCCGATCGCTGGTGGTGATGCCTATGCTTCCCAAACCGATTGGCAATGAGCCTGGCGTTCGCCTCTTGCAGAAGGCTCTTTCGATCCTCCGTGCTTAGTTTATCGAGTATATGTGCTTCCTCTCCCAAATAGTCCTCCAGACTCTTCTGCTCTTCCTGTTCTCTGTCCTTGTTAGAGGTTGCGTTCGTCGGAAGTCCGCCCAGGCGTGCCATGGCATGGAACTTGCCTCCGCAGCAGCTGGGGCGCATACAACCCTTCGCACACTTGCGCTCGTCTGTGGTGCGGATGACACTGCTAAACGCAAAATTTACCCCTTGGTTATAGTTTGGATTAATCCTGAAATGGGTGAGTTCGAGACGATGCAGCGGCAAAGTTCTATATGGTATACGCGTGGCGTTCTCCTTCACCCGTTGTGCTTCGCTTCCCGAAGACGAGGTGGCCTGAGTGAAATCATGTTGAATATCAAGTTTCGAACTCCCCTGCATGATTTCTGATTCAGAATTTGTCTGTCCTCCCCTGCTATTATTAGACAAAGTTCGTCCAACAGAAGGAGATCGCTGCACTGCGCAGCCCCTTGTGAATTCTTCATTGATATTCTTGGGTTGGAGCTGTTGTTTGGCAGGCACCGGTCCTTCAAGAAGACCTTCCAGTCTCTGTACGGCAAATTGGCCTTCCTTTCCTGGGTCTGGAAGTGGCGACCTAGCTTCAAATGCCGACGTGTTAAGTCGGTTTGGTGTAGCGACGTTCACGTCATTCTCTTCGCCATCCTCAGCCATCGCCGAGATGGGGTATTTGAGTCTCGGTTTTGATCCCTTCGCGGCTGCTGTGCCTAACCGTTGGTCATATCTATTGATGCTTGTGTTGCCATTGACCGATTGCAGTATCGTGGGTCGTCTCGAGAATGATTGAGATCTTGCTGGGGGCAGGCCTTTGCGTCTGGCTTCAATTGCTGGTGAAGCCGCTCGCTCGGAGCCAATTTCCTTATACTTCTTTCTCTTAGTTGGCGTTTGAACCAAGACACCAACCTCATCTAGGTCCTGGGTCCCAGTAGCCCCGCAACTAGATAATGACCCCCCCAAAGGGCTAGATGATAAACCCTCGTCTCTGATAGAAATAGGCTGGCTTGAACCACTGTTACCATGATTAGGGGCATTATCGTGAAGTGTTGGGCATATTTGATGAGGCGGTTGTGATGCTGAACGTTTCCGTTTGATAGTTGCGGCCGGAGCAGTTGCACTCTGAGCTGCAGCTGGCTCCCTTGGCACGTCGGCATTCGAAGATTCATCATAGTCACCTAGTCCTGAAGTATGCATAATAGGGGCGGAAGCTCCTCGCAAAACTGGATGCATGGCCGATTTCGAAGAGTTTATTGGTATAGACGTTGATAAGTTAGTGAATAAGCGTGAATGTTCTTCACAGCTGTTTCTCTTAGCCCGCTGAAAATCCACTGCTTCTCCATCGAGCACCAATGTGAAATTGTCGCGGTCCAGGCTCTTCCTCCAATGCATTAATTTCTTTTTGTGACGTTTGATTTGTCTTCGAAGTTCGCCAGAGGCTTTCATAAGTGTCTGAGCTTCTGTGTAAAGCGCGGCATACAAGTCCCTCACAGCCATTATCTCAGTAGAGTCGAAGCTCTCGGAGTCCTTGCGGTTGGCACATATACGATCTATAGCGCGATGCGGCGCGTACGTTGCTTCCAATTCGAGGGACTTCTGAGCAGTAACTTGGTCTTCAGTGGACCCAACATCCCCGAGACGCAGCTCATCCCGTAGAATAGTAATCTCATCCTTTAAGGCTGTCAATTCTGCATCCGCTCTTTTCCGTGCTTCATCTGCAATTCTAACCCTCTCCTCGGCCGCCTGCACCTTCGCGTCTCGGAGAGCAAGTTCTCGTTGAAGGGTCTTGTAGACATCTTTGAAACAATCGCCAAAGGCTTGGGTAAGAGAGATTTGGAACTGTTCAAGAGCCTCCATTGATTAAAGTCTATGCTACATACAGGAGAGGTCTCCCGGATGTACGTAGTAGCATAGGGCGGCTGTGACACGCGACTTTGACGCGCAAAGATAGATACCCGCATTAATACCACCAGTAGTTTCCTGATTGTATGAAGTACAGAGGACCGCTCTATTACCTCGGCACGTATCGTATCGTTCGAGACATCGGTCCGCCATACATACCGTATCAACCACCCTCAGATAAGCTCCGCCCTGACATTATTAGGCGAACAGGCGGAATAGGAAGTGGTACCTCCGACTTAAGATTGCGTTCATCCAGCAAGCACTGACTTGTGCAGTCGGTTGTTCCGACTTTCGTGACTTCCTTTAACCCAGCATTGCATTCCCAGTCACAAAATGCCAAAGAGGCGCAATGCTGAAGATCTTCCCCCGCCAAAGCGTCTCCGCATGACCCCCAACGGCCATCTCGATCACATATCCAGACTAAGTGACGAGCTCCTACTTCATATATTGTCTTTTCTTCCCCTCCCCTCTCTGCTTGTCTGCCAACAGTATGTCCTCCTCAGTTAAAGTGCCGGCCTCACAGCTCATCACTTCTCCCCACATAGACTCTCGCGTCGGTTCCATGTGTTAGCTGGAGATTCGGAGCTCTGGAAAAGACAGTATTATTCTCGATGGGTACGGCCTCGAGCACGTCGGTTACCAAATGCTAGGCGTACACTCTTATCCCGCTCTGAAATCGAGTATTCGCCTAGGGTGTCTACCTGGCTTGACCACAGTCACTTGGCAAAGGAAGGAGTGGCCACAAATTGGAAACGACAGTATCGTCTGCGACACAACTGGTCGAGGGGAGCCTGTCGGGTCACAGAGATCGAGTTTCCACAACCGCTTCGTCGACAGATGCTAGTAACATTTTGTGCTGGTATTGTGTTTACAGCGGATTCAGATCACGGCTTAAGAGCTTGGGCCGCCGAGAAGCCTGGACAATGCTTAGCAAGGTCTCCTTTGGCAAAATCGCCGTCGCGATCGTTACCCGCTCCCACAGCAATGGCGGCTGCAACGAGCGGTCCACAGCAGAGCTTAATAGATGTTACAATTGGTTTTGAGGATGGCCGTCTCGGCGTCTACACTCTAGACACAACAAATTTCTGGATTGAAACGCGCTTCGCCTACGTCGAAGGCACCGGTGAAGCCATCACGGCAATGGCCTCGTACTCCCCTTTCCTGCTTTTAGTTTCTCAACACAAGGTTTTATCTCTATATGAAACAATCACAGACGAAGACGGTTGGTCATTAACTCCACGACTACTAACTACTCTCAAGGCGGACAGTATATTGGAGCCAATATCGCTATCTGTCCGCGCTGCGGGTCCCAAAATAGTAGCGTCTATAGTGTACAGTTTTTACCATATAGGCTGCGGCTGGTCACTAGGTATTCAAGAATTGCAGTTCGGCTTGGACGGTCAGCAGCTGAGTTCTCGGCTTGCTACCACAGTCGACTGCCAATACGGGATTGTGTCCCCAACTTCTCGCAGCCGGTCAAAAAGGGACTATCGCACCACATATGTGGTAGGCTCCGGGAATGAGCTAAGTACAAGGCCACCCGGACCTTCGATATCACACTATGAACCACCAACCTCGGTGTCCTATTCTCATCCTTACCTTTTGACTTCGCACGCGGACAATACCTTGACTGTGTACCTTGTGGTCTCCACTTCGACCAGCCTTTCCGTGACAAGCTGCCAGCGTCTCTGGGGCCATACATCGTCCGTCTCAGCCGTGCAGGTTAGTGATCGTGGTAAGGCAGTTTCGGTGAGCTCCAGAGGAGACGATATCAGAATATGGGAACTTGAATCTTTGGTCTCTTCACTCGGAGGGTACAGGGCGTTCAGGGACGGGAATAGCATCCGAGTAAGCCCAGGGAATAGGGCATATCAGCGACATGATAGCCTTGACTTAGTGTCGGAGTCTTCTCAGGGTCAGCTCAACGCAAACCGATCAAGCTCGGTCGACAACACCTCCGGGTTAACAAGGATGCACAACTGTGTTGGCTTCGACGATGAGCGAGTCCTTCTACTCCGCGAAAAGGAAGTTGGGACGCAGATGCTCGAACTATATGACTTCACGTGAAATGAAAATCTTGTAATCTATAGATACCATAGATCAGAGTTCAAGCCTGGTCATGAAAGCCTTTATGAACCACCTGCTATCCAAAAGTCCGACCATGTCGCTAAGAAACTTCCGAACGTCCATTCGAGAAGAGGAATTCATGGCAAGAGCATTCAGTAGCATGAGGAAAACCGAAGAGTAAGCGTAGACCTTTCTAGATCGACATGGGAAACCTCAAGGTGCAAGCAACCAAGGTGTCCGGTCCCGGAGAGGACCTTGGGAGGGAGCCATAAGAGTCACGGCGTAGTTTAAAGCGCTACCATCCTGCCCTGAAGTACGGATGGTTTTCCTCTCCTCGTACTTTTCTTTCTCCCGCGGTCATGCTCGATGTTCTTTACTGTTCGACACGGGCGGCCTACTAGGGGACAGTCTCATTACAATATCCACACTTCTACCCCTGTGATATAAGGCTGCGCATACACTCGCTAATTGAAAGGCATCTAAATATGAGGCACGGAGGGTGAAAATAAATTTCAGCGACTGATGAGAATATTATCTAGGATAGGATGAGCCTGCTTTCGTCCTCGTTGTCGCGAAGGAAAAGCAAGAGTAATGTACCAATCTCACGAAGGTCTGGTTAGGGTCCCTCCCGCCAAACACCTCCTCTGCTTTCTCATCGTGACTGCTGCGATCGCCACCACATGTACGGCATAATGGCGGATCGCTAAACGCTACCTGGAAAAGCTAAGTAGGACTTGGCTTAAGGGCACAGCATGGGTGTGGGTATGGCGCGAAAAGCCAGGATCTCACCCAGGTCTGGAAGCGGGCAGGTGTTGTGTGTTGCGGCCTCCCGGCGTTAAAGCCCTGCAGGAACCACGGGAAGCGCTCCCCCGCACCGACTGTCCGCATGTCTGATTTATTTTTCCTTCTGGTTATTATTTATCGGCGCTAGCAAGAAATCCCTACCTAAATTTCTGATCGCCCAGTTTCCACCCCCCTCTCAAACCCTCACCTGGCCATCACCATCCTCTCTCTTACTTACCTCTTCACCCCAAAAATTCTTTACCAGTTCACCTACATCCTATATCCACAATGAGTTTCCAAGCTGGAGGTCGTGGCTGCTTCAACTGTGAGTCCCCCCCGCTCTGTTCCGTCGATTGTTAAACCTGAGCCCTTCGATTCTGTCATGCACCTTGTGTGCCTCCATTCCCGCAGTTCCAGCCGAGGGGGAGAAAAAAAAACGGCTTCATTGATCATGATTGCCCATCATCCACCGAGTTTTACTTGGTGTCCTCAGTTTACAGCTGGGATCCCTTGACTTTTCATGATCACTCACCTATCTGTCTCATTTTTTTTTTCTTCTTCATAGCGAATGGTCCTGCCGTCTTAGCGCGGTGGCTACCATTCCTGGTGAAGCGAATCTCTGGATTGGCACGGAAAAGCTAACAAAAGATCTTCATTCATTCTAGGCGGTGATGCTTCCCACCAGGTAAACCTTTCCCCTGTCACCATCGTCCCCTCATAACATCCTCGGCCAGCATTTTCTGGAATTGTTTCTATAATCATGGTTTGGGAACGTTCTAACCTCTAATCTCTACAGGCCCGTGACTGTCCCAAGAAGGGCACTCCTACCTGGTATGCTTAACTTGCACTGTCCATTTTCCTCTTACTGTAAACATTATTGACTAAGTTCGGTAGCTACAACTGTGGTGGTATGTCTCCCGACCTTGTCTCTACATCAATGACCAATCTTCCTCATTCCTTTTCGTTCACTGGCCCAATTTCATTGCGCCCTTTTCCGTTGATTCTTAGCCACTCTATCTAACCGCACCTTTGTACCATCACAGGACAGGGACACGTCAGTAAGTCAACCAGCAAATTCTCCAGTTCTCCGTCGTTTGATTATATATATATCTTCCTTTGTCTTGCCGAGATGCTAACAAGCCTATCATGCAGGCCGTGAATGCACTGTAGCACCCAAGGAGAAGTCCTGCTACCGCTGCGGTGGTGTGGGCCACATCTCCCGTGAGTGCCAGGCTAGCCCCGCCGAGGGTTTCGGTGGTGCTGCTGCTGGTGGTGGCCAGGAGTGCTACAAGTGCGGCCGTGTCGGTCACATTGCTAGGAACTGCCCTCAGAGCGGCGGCTACGGTGGTGGCTTTGGCGGCCGTCAGCAGACTTGCTACTCTTGCGGTGGCTTCGGACACATGGCTCGCGACTGCACTAACGGACAAAAGTGCTACAACTGTAGGCTACTGCACCCTTCACAATCTCTCAGGTTCAGTCAGACACGCTAACACTGTATTCCTAGGCGGTGAGGTCGGCCACGTCTCCCGCGACTGCCCTACGGAGGCCAAGGGTGAGCGGGTGTGCTACAACTGCAAGCAACCTGGTCACGTCCAGGCTGCTTGCCCTAACTAAATAGTTGATCTGCATGCTGCATCGTTTGTCTTCTGTCGCGCTATCATACGCGAGACCAGGATATCGGGATGACCTTTATCGCGCTCGCCGTGATGATCTACAATCTCTTTACCCCGATTTCTCTGGTCTAATGCACGACTTGGCTTGCGAGCCTGTCTCTGATTGACTTCCTCCGCCGGCTGACAATGATATCCAAAATGATATCCAGTTATCGTGGAATCAAACGGATGAAGTCCGGTGTTCCAAACAATAAAAGCGGGAGAATCAGTTTGTAAGACTGATAAGTGGTGGCCTGGGTTTGCGGGTGGGCAAACATGTGAAATGATGTGTAATGCGGAAGAAAACTTGTCCACAAAACTAGCATATGAAAGCAATTTCAATTCCACGGTTCCATCTTAGTCAGGCCTTTGCCTGCTCGGCATGTACCTCCTGGGAATCGTTAGGGGAGTAGTGTTTATCTGTCAGAAACAGGGTGGAAACAATATTTTTTGGTGATCATTTTCAGTTCTCCGTAGCATCAGCTACTTGCATAAAAAATTCCATTATTCTAAACACATCATACGCCGCGGACTAATGTATCGGTCGCGGTTTCTGAGAACACGTTCAAGAACTGCAGCTGCACATCATGGCTCTCTTGAAGCGAGGGACATCCCCACAAAAGCGCTCCTCTTCATCATGATTCTGTCCCCATTCTTCATTGAAGGGATTAAGTGCCATATGCATTACCCTTCCGAGTACCTCTCGATCTCCACGGCGTTCAACACGTTCAATAACTTCATCGAGGATCCAGCCGCGAGGCAGGAACTAAAGAAACATAGCCACCCATTAGTGTCGTGGCGGGCCAGCAGCGAAAATAGTAATGGTAGGCTTACCTTTGGGTTTGTACTCTTCATGATCCTTTGTCTTTCCAAGTCTTGATCAACGCCCCAGTCCTCTATGATTCGTTGTCTCCACTTGTCAAGCCAATCTCCGACTCGTTGCCTCGCGGAATCCTCGGTGTATCCGATGCCACCAAACCCTTCGTTATGAAAGAAGATAGATGCTATCCTCTCTCTCGTCTCTTTCGTCTCTATGTCCGACAGCGATATGTTTGACAGTCTTCGGAAAAAGTGATTGAAGTCTAACTCCAAAGCCTCCAATGTATCGAGCAGTTCCGAAAACAGTACTTGGAAGTCAGTTTCCTTTTGGCTGCGCAAGCCTAGCCTGTTGCTCATGATGCGTTTATATTCGTTCAGGAACACCATCCTGAACTCCTTGCCTGTTCGGTCAATGATCTCCTCCGCACGTTTAATGATGGCAGGCGCGGCTTCCTCTGTCACACCATCCCTCACAAAATCTTCCTTGTCAACGTCTTCACCTGCACCAATGAGTTCTCCGAGTGACTCGCCGAGCCTAACCAGATTCCACCAGATGATGCTGGGTTGGTTCTTGTAACAATATCTCAGGAGATGGTCATCATGGTTAGGCGTGTACTGAGGATCGAAGTTGTCCATGAACGCGAATGGGCCATAATCTAATGAAAGGCCATAGATTGAAGTATTGTCAGTGTTCAACACCCCGTTCATAAATCCATATGCTTGCCAAGCAGCAACGGTTTTAGCATTTCGTCGTGCAATTTCACGGTACAACCTTGCAAACCGATTCTCTTCCGAGCCTGGCGGCCCTTCAACTTGGTCCCAAGATACATGTCTGGGAGGGTTGTCTACAGTATCAGATGACTGACTCTGGTCCAACGGCAGCATAGCGGGCAAAGCCTCCCAGCCCTGGAACACATTCTCTGCGACATACGTCGCCAATTGTCTAATCAGCTCACGGTCTCCTCGTGCCCGTAGGAGGTCAAATGTTCCGATCCTTAGCCACGATTCAGCAAATCGAGCAACTATAGCTCCGGGCTCCAAACGTTCGCGCAACACCTTTGACTGAGGCAATAGGGTTATAGACAAAGCTCGAGTGGTTGGAACACCAAGTGCAGAAAGGGCTTTGCTCGCAGTTAGTCGAAGCTGCACAATTAGGACATGCGGAAGCAATACCTTCTGATACTATGTATTCCCTGATGCTAGAGCGAAGCACAGCCTTTCCATCGGCGAAGCGGGAATAAGGAGTCCGCCCCGCACCTTTTAGTTGTAACTCATAGCGAGTACGGGTTTTCGGGTTTGTAGTTTCGAAAAGGCTGATTGCACGCTGGAAAACAACCAATTGTTAAGCTCCATCAATGAAAAGTTGTATCTAGAAACAAGCACTTACTCCGTCGCCAAGTTGCCCAGCCCACGAGCCGCTGCGATTTGTCAATTTCAAGGAACAAAGATATTTACTGTCCGGAAACATACAATTGCCATCCTTGAAGGTATTAGTGAGTATTAATTTCGGTCTAAGAAATTGAAAGGTCTCCAACGTCTCTCACCTCCGTAACATTGTGCCCAAGGATATATGCCACCCTCGTTTTCATCCCAGTAAAATTCATTTCCCGCAACTAAAGCTTTGAATTTCGGGGAAAGCTCTTCACCGGGCTTTAAACCAAGATCATTCATGGCCTTTGGACTCACCCCCAGAAGTTCGCTCTCCTCCGCCGGCTCAGGTCTGACGAAGGTATATAAAGCACCTTTTACTAACCGTGGGCCGAGTGTCTCACGGGGAGCTCGATGTGACACCTCAGGGGTCTCAAAAGCTGGGTCGGGAGGAAGCTTGGAAGTGAAGACATTGGACTTAGGGAGTTCGGCCAACGAAAGCCCTCCGTTTGCGTCGGAGAGCTGCGACGCCATTTGAGTTAAGCGATTTCGACTGATCCGCGATGGATAGAGGATACTGCGGGCCAACATAAAACGAGCGCGGAGAAGGCCAGGATGAGCGACAAATAAGCCCATGGAAGACCTAAAACAGTGAGCGAGGGATGTGTCAAGTATATACGGACCCTCGACAAGCTACTTAGGCAAATAGGAAGATGGCTTTTACCGGGTTCTATAAGAAGAGTTTTGACTATCACTGCCAGTGTAGCTGTTAAGTTTAGTTTATCAGTTAGTTAACCGACGAGTACTCTCTGTATTAGCAATTGACCTGGGTCAGTTTAAGTAAGCCGGCGAGGCGAGACCTGGGCTATGACATCATTCTCCTCAACCAGTTCCGCCAACCGATCCCGCATTTGTCTGCCTCTTGATGGACTACAGGCTGGTAACGCAATTGCCTACCATTGTAAGATAGAACCTCTTCGTCGGATTATGGCGGGGCAAGGCGGAAGGCTCGGAGATTCAGGGCATGCGCAGCCGCAGCGCGGGATGAAGCTGGATGGCTTGTGGAGCCGGAGCTGATCCGATCCGGTTCGTAGAACGGAGTATTAATACATCATCCATTTCTGCACCCAAGTATAGAACTTCCAAAGGTCTCCTCTGCCTTGCGAAAGAAAAGAAAGAAACTGGAATCAGTCGTGTCTACGAACAAGGATATTACCACACCAGTCATACTGAATAGCAACAAAGATGGCCAACACCCTGAAATCTATGCCATCCGTCAAATTGAATGACGGCACGTGTGTTCCCCAGGTAAGTTGTAGTAGGAGCAGACTCATTTGCAATTCTATTCTTTTGGCAACCAATTCAGTTACATTTGATAACGGAAGCAGCTTGGATATGGCTGCGGCACAGCTTGGTATAAGAAGGAAGGGGACACTAGTATCAACCGAGAGCTCGTTGAATCCATCAAAGATGCTATCCGACTGGGGTATCTCCACCTTGATGGTGCCGAGACTTACAGAACTGAGCCTGAGCTTGGTCTTGCCATCAAGGAGAGTGGCGTGGAACGAGATAAGCTATTCGTAACCACTAAGGTGAGCGTAAACATCGCAGATATTCCGAGGGCAATCGACGCAAGTCTAGAAAAGCTTCAGCTGGATTACGTTGATCTGTAGGTGATCCGCCCCGCCAATATGTTTCTACCGGCTCGAAGAACCTTGGTTTACTGCCAGATGCGAGGACTAACGGGGGTTACATATAGGTATCTAATTCACTCGCCTTTTTTCGCCAGCTCATCTAGCGACCTTCAAACAGCCTGGGCTGCTATGGAGCAGGTGAAGGCCGCTGGAAAGGCACGGTCAATTGGCGTGTCTAATTTCCTGCAAAGCCATTTGGAGGCTATTTTGGAGACAGCCACAGTTCCGCCATCCATCAACCAGATTGAATTTCATCCCTATCTACAGCATGGCAATCTACTCGACTTTCATAAGAGCCAAGGCATCCAAACAGCAAGCTATGGGCCTTTAACTCCTATCATCCGATCAAAGGGAGGGCCAGTGGATGACCTGCTGCCACATCTGGCCAAAAAATATGCAGTCAGTGAAGGGGAGATCCTCCTGAGATGGTCCATAGACCGTGGCTGTATAACAATCACGACTAGTAGCAAAGAATCCCGCTTAAGCAGCTATTTGCGCGCCTTAACCTTTCAGTTGACTCCTAGGGAGATTGATGATATTTCCGCTGCGGGGCAGCAGAAGCATTTCAGGGCATTTTGGCAGGGAAAGTTCGCGTCAGAAGATCGTTCGTGAAAACTATTGGTCATACTTGTATACAGCGTCAAACTCAGGCCTGTTCTGAGATTGTTGGATGAATTTAGATTCAAGCCTGGTGATTTCTGATGAACCGTCAAGCCAATGGTATCTGAGGTCGTTGCCTTTAATGCAGATTTACCTGTGATAACCAAGTACTAGGACATACAGCCATGAGTCTTCCGTTTGCCACTGCACATAGATAGGGACCAAAAGAACGAGGGCCATGGAGAATTGCAAGCGGTACGTAGTCGGAGAAGACTGGTTGAGAAGTAAGAGCTTCAATCTTTGAAGTTTGGTACGGAGTAAGGTGCCTAGTAGATAAGCGGAGAAGACCCGCTCTAGACTAATCATAAGCAAATCAATTACTGCCAAGCGTTTCCGCTTCGACCGCCAGCCAGCATCCCCAGTCGCGATCAAGCCCCCCCAACCCACCCTCATTGTCGGACGGAAAGGCGATCCCCATCTCCAGAGGAAGCTCCTCGGCGCTCTCCTTCCTTGTCGTCTATTCCTTGCTGTTACGCCCACATCAACACTAGCGAGCCAGAGGCTCCCGTCCTCTATCCTTATGGCCTCGAGAGTCTCATTCTAGCTCCGGCATACATTGGCTGTTTGTCGACGCTACTTCTGTACGACAGGTCGGGACTGGTTTCTTATCGCGTTCCCCATTCCAGCCAATTTTGTGCAAAATTCCCCGCCAGCTGAATCCAGACCGGTTGGCTGTGGGTGAATCGATTCGGATTTAAAGCGCTTGTGTTGTTGAACGCTCGTTTATTTCGGTCTCTCTCTTAGCGTCACAGGTCGCAGTTTTGGGGGGGGGGCAGTCGGCAAAGGCCAACGAGGAGCTCAGTCCGCTCGGTATCCAGATTCTGACACAAGATAAAGGGAAAGGGGAAGACTCAATAACAATAAGGAGGCGCGCTGGCAGTTCTTGAAAGGTGACTTTTCACAAGGTCACACTACGTGGTCCCTGAACCTGTTCCTGGGAAGTGCGATGTTCGATAGTGGCGGCAATTGAACTCCAATTCGCGTAGCCACATGATACTGGGAGCTAACGCCACTCAGGGAAGTCAAAAGAGAAGGAAGGAATACTTGGTATTGGTTCATGGTCAGTCGAAAAGAGCTTGCTCGCCGTCAGCCACGTAGGCTTTTGATCAACGGACTGCAATGTCGGGGGACCAGCCCTATCGCTCCGCGGATGATGAAATAAAAGATCCCAAGTTCATTAACGAACAGACACATAACTCCGGTCAATCTTCAATCGACCAACGATTGAAGCGGCTTAGGGAAGAAATCCTTCCGTTCTACCCCTTCCTTCTCACTGTTCCCACTGATGTGCCTTTCCGCCTGGGGAGTCGCTTTGTCAACAACTGGGCTGTGGGTAATGACGGGCCGTTTACACCGGAGGAGCAACAACTACAATATATGACATTCCTTACACATCACGAAGGGGATTCCTTGCTAGTGGCTGTGGGTGACTGGTCTGACGCGACAGGAAACGTCATGTCCGACCAGCGTTCCGGAGGCCAGAGTGCTGCAAGCACACCATCCAACAACTCGGTGAAGAAAAAGATAACTTTTAACGACTACAGGAACAGAAGGAAGAGTGGCGCCTCCGCTTCCCCTGTCGGCCCTGAAGTCAGTAAGCAAAGCACCTCAGTCCTTGATACCCCCGAAGCAAGTCAGCGAGCTGCTAGGGCTAGCCTTCCTAGCAATGACTCGCAAAAGCCCGCGGGAAAACCTCCCGTCCAATCGCGAGCTGCGTCTAACTCGGGGGGCATCGAGCGCAAGCGCCCGTTTGTCGATGGCACCTCCGATTCTTCGAGGTCACAGCATAAGGTCGCGGCCCCCAAAAAGCCGAGGATATCTCCGAGTCCTGCAAAGACCGAGCGGCTGAAGGGTAACGCCTTGCCTGCTCTCCTGTCACCGACCCTTCCCCCTACTTCAAACAGTCCAAGACTGCCTCGGCTTCTGTCTCCTACTCTTCCGCCTGATATTGAGAAGGAATTAGCTGGGCTTGGAGAAGGCCCCCTGGGCCTAGGATCATCACAAAGCGACGGCGCTTCGAATAATGATTTATCATCGGGATCAAAAATCCAGAAGGCCAAATCTGCCGTTCACGCTTCGTCACAGCCAGACTCAACACACTCTTCGGGCTTGCATAGCAAGCAATTTTATCATGGAAATGACAAACGACGGCCCTCAAGCACGGATGTCTCAACTTTGGACAATTCTCTGGCCTCCAAAGGTAATCCAAAAAACCATGTCGGAAATACGATGTCAAGATCAATCGGCTCGCCACCGGTTCTACAGGATGCTTCGGCTAGAGCGCAGTTGGTCGTGAAATTGAAATATGGAAGATCAAACCGGAAGCGGATCGAGGCTCTCCTGAAATTTTCTGGCAAAAAGAAGCCGGCCCCGCCGGGGTCACCTGTGAAGAGTGCACTAGACATTGAGCCCTCTCAGACTCAGAAAGCCAGGCAGGCGGCAGCGAAGGCTCCAGCGTCGGAACATCCCGATCACAACAAGCCACAACGGTTGGAAGGGAAAGGGAAGCATATGGGCACAATTACCGTCTCTCGGGAGCACTCAAAAGTCCCTGAAAAGCCTCAAACGCCTATGTCTTTCTCCTCAAACCTGACTGTAAATCCATCAGACAGATCGAAAGCTAGTTCAACGACGCCGGTAAAAGACCCTAAGTCTTCTGCCAGCCGGTTTGATCCATACAGCGGCAATGACGGAAAGCCGTCTTCTCATCCAGCCGTCAAGCGCCCCGGTAATTCGGCCACTCCTACAAAACTCGCATCTCCGCAATCGACTAATACGGCATCACGTCAATGCGACCGTCGAGCTTGGAAAGATGAGTATCAGAAATATTCAAACCTGGGACGTGATTTAAAGCATGCTGCGGAGCGGCACACAGCCAAAGATCGCGTAACTACCGTTGATGAAAAACTCGCGGCCGCTACAGCAATTGAGGCTATTCTTTGCTTCATCGTGGCATTTGTTGCCGATGATCAATCCAAAGCGCTATCCCGGCAAACTGCAGATTCGTCTTCCTGGCTATCTATCCTCGCATATTGGCGTGTTGTGAAAAAGAATAGCACTCCCTATCCGCGCCTGCATAGCCTCTGCCTCATACTTGGTGCTGTCTCTTATGATGCCATTCACGCACTTGATCTTGAGCGACTTGCCGCCACACCTTTACCTGGGGAGAACACGCCAGCGCCCACTCCAGGGAGCGATGAAAACCCTGCTGCATCGGAAGACCATAAGAAGAGCCGGAAAGAGTTTGTGGAGCTGAAGAATAGACCGCACGAGTGCTATAGAGAATCCCAGAAGTTATGGCTCGAAGGCTCACGCGGTCTTTGCGAAGATGTTCTTTCGCGTGAGTTTCCAAGTACCTGGTCTAAACGATCCAAGAATTTCTCAGAGTTGGGAAGGCAACGCTTGAGAGCTGGCGACTATTCTGGCGAATTTTTTTTGCCAGTTGGACGGACCAACACCCCCCTAGAGGTAGTCCGGTTCAGTCACGCATTTCTGAGTGAGTGGTGCGCCAAGGAAGGTGTGGGATGGAACAGCCGACTCAAGCTGTAACTGTGACGAGTTCATCCAGGCGTTCTGCTATGTCGTTCGTGTCACAATCTGCGGTCCATTTCAATGGCTTTCAGTTGGCGTTTGTGGCAGCAGGCGTGTACAGGGAATATATTTTGCCTGCTGTTATTGTTACATGATACCACGGGTTGTATGTGCTTATGCTTAAGAGGAGGCAAACATTCATCTTTTATTTATCTGCAACGTAGGTCTGGGAGATACGTTGGGGGTGCAAGAATTTTCAATCGACTACATGCTATATCATTCAGCGTACATCCATGGGATTGGAGCTTGGAGACCCGGGCACTGGGGCCTGTAGGGTAATGCGCCTGCACACTTAGTAACCACATCTGGAAAGCGAATCTAACTACGCTACTACGCTAGTGGTAGTCATCTTGAATTTTTATCTTTTCTTATTCTATTCTATGTAATGATTTATTCTCTTCCGGGAGAAAGTCCAACCAGGCGAATTAAAAACGCTCCGAGGTACCTTACGCCAAAGTGGCAAAGAGTCAAATAAGATGATATAGGCTCTAATAACGATCTAGATATGATACCTGGCATAAGTCGTTCAATTAGCAGCAGATGTCTCCCGCAGACATAGTGATAAAGAATAAACACAATCGCTAAGCCGAAGCCTCTCAAACCCCCCCTCCCCCCGAAGCGCAATACCGCCATCACCAGATATTCGAAAATCCTTTTCGAGCTCAGGATTGACAGTGCGGTAATTACTAAGCCGTAGATGTCCTCTCAATGAGAATCTGACATTCCTTTCATGGTCGCACAGGTATACCTACCAAGTGATAGCTCATGGATCCTCAAAGCGCGTATTCCTGGAAACAGACCCAGGCTCTTGGCCGAAGAGCCAGCCAGCTTCTCGGCAGTACCTTGCCTCCCGGCCGTAGGCTCCAACTTCGCTACTCCAACAAATGATTGATGCATCGACAGTATCTGCAATTACACCTTCAATTGCTCCCAGCACACTCCAACCGATCGTCCCAGCAATGATCCCGACCATGTAGGCATACATGCTTCCGCGGATTGAACCGTTGGTACTCATCACACTTAGGCTCCGAGCAGTGCTCACCCAGCCACCAAACCCAAGCGCAAGAGACATCATGAGACGGGCCGCATGCAGAATGAGCTTGGAAAGTCGATAAGGGAGAAGAGTTGCAGAATGCCCACGAGACCAAGAGAACGACCGTGGGTGTAGAGAAGTCGTCGCTATGGAGGGCGTCAGGTTTGTCATCTGCACCAGACCACGAGCGGACACTGTAAGCGGCTGGGAATGAATAGACGCATAGGTGAGGGTTAGAGGGTCCGTGAGGGCAGTTATAGGAGTTGGTACAAAGGAATAGGCGCAGAAACTCAAAAGTGACGCGATACGACCGGGAAGCAACAAAAGCGGGACGCGGATCATTAGAGCCAGGAGGCTCGATAGGCAAATTGTACCAAAAAGGGTTGTAGCGGAGTGCAGAGTTGCGGCTTGGACTATTTGCCTGGAGGTCGGCGCTGGCGTCGTAAAGCGATGAAAATACCATTGACTCACCGCGGCAGCTGTGACTGTACGTCGAATACCAGCGATGACTCCCAGTGACCATGCGTAAACGAGCACATAGTAGATTCCTAAGCACCAGCTGCTTGAATCGACAACGAAAAGGCTGGACCGAGAAATATGGCCTTCCAAAAACACTCGCGTAAACATGAGCATCCATAACCAGGTCCATAAGACAATGAGAATGAGGGCACCGAGCCCCAAAGCTAGAAGCTCTGGATTCACGGCGAGGATGCGGCATGCAAACTCAAGTATGTCGACGGCCCTTCCTATAGCGCGGCGGCCTCGAACGACGTTGTAAATCCATGCGCTGGCCAAAATAAAGGGAATAATAGACCCGCATCTCATGACTTTGTCCTGAACACTTGATCCGTGCCAGACACCCCCAAAGCTCGAGATAAAGGGGTAGAGAAAGAAGGAATACAGTATTATGGGAACGGCGACGAGGATAGCGTAAACCAATGGACGTACATAGGAGCGTAATAGTGCCAGCCAAAGCAGAGATATAGATATCGACACGATGGTATAGGTACCCAGCAGGTAAAATGAACTGTGGATGGTCAAGTAGACAGTGTCACCCCATTTCGACTTGTCACCGGAAGGAGGTGAAGTGTGAAGGTAGATAAGAAATGACGTAGCGAAGAGAGAGGCCACGGATATGAGAAACAAGTGACCCCAAAAGCCATCATGAGCTGGAGAGCTAGCGCCTACCGGTGGGGTCGACGTTCGATATGGCCGTGACGTGCCTGGCGGTTGGGATGTTTCTGGCACTACTGCGTTATCTGAATCTATAGGAAGGAGATCTGAGTCTAGTCCGAGATTGCCCGTTCGTGACTGTGGCTGCTCTCGAAACCGTTGAACGGAAGGCGGTTTATCATCACCAAATTCGGGAGAGTCAGCCCGGTCGCGGCCAACATCGGATGCCAGTGTATCTTCCAGGTGAACGTCAACTAATTTCCCCCTGAGCCTGCTTCTACTTCGCTCTGTGTGAATAGACTCCTCCATTCCGTTTGGCTCCCCGTCGTACTCAACACGCGAATCTTGCGCTCTGTCACTAGTTTCGGCGTCGCGCCAGGAGCTCCAAATGCCCTTCCCCCTAGTATAAGGGGGCTGTTGTTCCTTCGAGCTGGCAGATTCGTTATCGTCGCCAATTTCTGAAGACTCCCTAAGGTAGCTGCTCCCAAATTGGCGCCGAGATTTTTGTAAGGCATAGAAGTCAGCAATCTCTCGCTCATGCTCAACCTCATCATCCTCCTCTCGGAATTCATCGGTAGCGCTGTAGAAGAGAGGCGCAGGTTGAGACACAACCCTTGAACCAAACGGGAAGCCTGATAGTTGAGAACCGGCAGGTTGGTATGGGTCGGCCGCATTCCTGTGGAAGAAAGAGCGCGAAGAGGGCAAAAGAGAATTTCGAGGTTGTTGCAAGAGACGTTCATGCCCCTTTCTTCGGGGTTCTTCTGGATGGTTCACGACCCGTGACTGGGACTGTGCGAGAAAACGGGAGGCATCTGGGCAGCAAGTGAGCGATGAGGAGCACGGTATATGTATAAGAGATGGAATAGTAGAGGGTATTCATACATTCGGAGAACATGTCGGACCTGGTTCTCTATCTTTGTTTTCGTCTTCTTGACACCTTGACCCGACCCTTGACCAATGAGCCGCTAAACCTTCTTATATTCAAATCACTGATTGTCCAGCTTATAGCAGACGAAGCGGTGTGAGCGGTATAAACCCGATGCAGTTGAAATTCAGTGGGAATCGAAGGACTACATAGCAAAGAAGCCAGATGGGATAGGGCTATCCATCAAAAAGAAAAGAGATGTCGGATTGGGGTATAAACCTGCAGAAAGAGTTCAGACAGGCAGAAAGCGTATGAAGGTAGCAGTAGTCTTCCCTTGCGATCAGTAGGTGAGGTTGCAAGCGTCATCAGGCAAGGTCATGGTGATAGATGACTCAGCATCCATGCCATTCGTCTGATCGGTTTAATTCGCTTGGACTGCAGAATGCGCCCAGTAAGTACAAATGTTCTCGGTGTGCAGAGCAGGAAACTGGAGCACTTCAGACCATACCGGAAAGAAAGAAAAAACAAGGGGGTTGCGGTGGAATTTTCCTTGCAGTCAATATATGTGAGGCTTGAATAAGGTAGATAACAGTAGTTTGGGGAACTACTACTAGAGGGGACTAAACTATCGCAGCTCCTCCCGTACTTAACCAGTGGATAACTAGTCAGAAAGACCATCCATTACATAACAGCTACTTGCTCTGTACCCAGCATTCCTCGGTAGCTCCACTATAGCTTGGTTGGTCATCTACTGGCTACTCCAGACTGGTTATCGATTCCGTCCTACTACTTATCTTATCCCGCACTTTCCTAAGAGGTTGGAATCCAGCGTTATACCCGACTGAGTTTAGTAAGGCTGAACGTAAAAAGAGAATCCCTTCCCGTGCTGAGGACGAAGAAGTTCACAGAGTACTTAGCATCATTAATTATCATACGATTATCTCCCCATAGGCCGACTGACACCAGGTTGAGCCAACCTTTCCATTTCCCAAGGCGAGTATCCGTTTTATTTGGTCGCCATCTTCCATCAGTTGATTTTTTGGGAGCATGACTCCTACAGACCTTTGAAAGTCCACGGGCATTGATCGATCGAAAAAAAAAAGAAAGAAAAAGAAAATTATTCACCTAAAGTCTCGAGTGCCGGCATAAGCGACATTCCTCTGCTGTATCCATGTCACAGCCATGGGATTATATTGCTAAACTTGTTTGCATCGGGGACTCGGGAACTGGGAAGTCTAGTGTGGGTACACTCACGCTTGACAGACCATCATACCGCTGACACACGGCCGCGACTTTCTAGTTAACGATCCGACTCTGCGAAGGGCGCTTTTCGTCCTCCCATGATGTTACAATTGGTGTCGAGTTCGGTTCACGGATTGTTCCGGTGGGCCCGCCGGCTTCAAAGGCCTTGGGAGGCGAGTTCGACGATTCTATCCGCAATCGTGCCCCTTCACTCACATCTTCGCCCTCATTGCCCGCTACGACTACAGCCAGCGAATCAGTCGCTTCTGGACTGCCCAGTCCTCCACGTCGGGTACAGGAGCTCCAGAAAAGAATGAAGTTGTCGCTATGGGACACCGCTGGCCAAGAAACGTACAAATCTATTACCCGCTCTTATTTCCGTGGTGCTTCGGGTGCCCTACTGGTCTTCGATATCACTAGACCTTCTACATTTGTATCGTGCACACAGTGGCTCCATGATCTGCGGCAAATTGCGGAAGATGGCATTGTAATTGTTCTGGTCGGCAACAAGAGCGATCTTGCCGCTGATGAGTCGAGATCGCATCAGACAGTCACTAGGCAAGAAGCGGAGGAGTGGTGCCGTTTGAATAACATCACACGGTATGTTGAGACAAGCGCGAAATCCGGAGAGAACGTGGAGCGTGCATTTCTTGAGGTAGCCGAGATGATATACCGCAACATCGAAGCTGGCAAATATGACCTCCACGACCGTCGAAGTGGTGTGAAGGGCTATGGTGCTACTGGTGGATCAAACTCAGGTATCCCAAACACTGTCACTTTAGGCTTGGATGATGCCATGCGCAAGGGTGGAAGTGGCCTGGCAGCAGGCTGTTGTTGATGGATACAGGATATTATACCTTATATCAAGCTTGTTGTTCAAAGTTGTCACGGGACTATATCTTGTGCAAACATGTAACGGTCCTTTATAGTCGCCCTTGGAGAGGTATGGTTGTGTAGGAATATGGAATAGGCACAGATTTCGCCCAGTAATCTCTGTGATCTTGGTTTATATACATCTCGGGCTAATGAGGATCGAGGTAAATGGTACAGAAGAGCGAAGCAATATACATTGAATGCTACACAATAACAGAGGCGCGGGGCGCATATACCAAAATTTGAAACACAGCCAATCTAAATATCTTACAGCTGACTAGAGTAGATAGTCCACGAGCCAACAATAGTAGTGACAAGTATGGTATTGCATGAGGTACAGCGATGACGAGAAGCGGTATATGTAAACAGGTGTTGACGATAAGGGTGGCGATTACGGTGGTGGTGATGAGATGGAACGGCTCAGTTGGCAATCCGCCAGCCACTGAACCAGTTCAAATGAGACCACTGCTGGCTGGGCCCTTCAATACCAAAAACAATAGCCCGAAAGTATGCGAACAAGCCAACGATCGCGCAGTAAAGCAAGGTATAGATCGCCCAACGTAGCTTGTTGCTCATCTGCTGTGTGAACCAGTCAACGCAGAATCCGAATGTGAGTATGGCATAGTAGAGTGCCGGATAGTAATGATGAACGTAAGTCACTCGTGCCATGACCGCAAAAGGTAGATAATGCAACACCCACCCAATGACTGGGTAAAGACCGGAATAGTGGATGTGGTCAATATCCGCTTGGGTAAGTTCAGTATATCCTCGCTGCCAACGCACGAGATACCAAAGAACCAGAAGGGCAAATATTCCAAGACTCAAAGTACTCCCCCAATATACGAAAGGGTTTCCGAGAAGGTAGTACTTGATGGTGTTGTCATCCCAGGAGCACATACGAAGGCCCACATTGAGTATAGGCCATTGCCAGAACTTAGAGGCGAGGTCATCTTGCTTGTCCGGATCAGGGACAAGAGCATTGTTGGACGTCATCATAGCGACATTCAGATGGATAAAATCCTTCCAGAACGGAGACTTGTAAGATCCGGGATCACCTGGTGGAACTATGTAACAAAATCAATATCCGGTCGCCACAATCTGGAAGGAATAGACCAGGAATAGGGGTAAACTTACGCCTCTCGTTGTAGTGTGACTCGACATTCCAATGAGTATAGACATCACTGGGCTTATTCTCCTTCACGCATGTGGTCTCAATCTGTTTGAAGCCCCATTGGGGCAGGTTTACATTTCCTGCACGCAAGTAACAGCCCAGGACAGGATGTCTCAGGCGAAATGCCGTAGTAAGAGTTCGAATTCTGCTCCTGTCCCTGGATGCAACATCATCAACGACTTCAACCGCCCAATGATCTTTGTCATCGCCAATGGTAATGTTGCCATAACAGGAGACTTCAAACTGGCTCTTAGTAACTGGTGCAGATATAGCATGCGAATGTAGGTTACGACCCGTCTGCCCATGGATTAGACGGATGATGTCTCCGTCACCAACGAATCTCAAGGAGTCCTCGGGGTCATAGTCCGGCTCATACCTATTGGGGTAGATGAACCAGTCGTTGTTGGAATCCTTGTGGTGATAGCACGTCACCTGCTGTTGTGTTGACCCTTCAGGATACGTTTGGATATGCGAATGGAGAAGTCCACCACCATACCCCATGTTTTTCAGTGTCACCCTCGATCCCAGTGCTATCTCAAGAGGACTATCCTTCCCGACCTCGGTGCCCTTCAAGTTTGCCTGGAAAAGTGAGCTCATCTGGGCATCTCCTGGACCACTATTCTCGAGAACCCAGAAATGAACATAGAAAGACAGAATGTAGACAATGCAGGGCACTATGATTAGGCCCACTATGCGCGCAACTAGATGTTTCGCTACCACAACCTGCCGAGCATTAACCACCGAGCTGAAGTCGTTTTACATTCCAGTAAGCCGCTTACCTCAGGCATTTTAAGGTCGCCAAACTTATTCCATAGATCTTCAACTGTATAAAGGCCCACAATAGCGGTGCAGAAGAAACCGACCCATTTGACACTGCAGACACAGCCAATGCTCACGCCGGTGAGAAAGAGCCATGCAAACCATTCTGCCGAAAAACTAGCTTTCTGCAGTCGATGAAATTTGGCCCAACATAATGTGGTTGTAAACGTGAAGCAAAGTAGCATGGAATCAAGGAGGATGAATCTCGAGATGGTGGCATACGAGTTTTCGAATAGCACCATCAGACTGATAAGCCAAACAGTAGCCTTGCGATAACCCAGCTCCCGTGCGGTATAGTAAGCAAGCGGGACACATACCGCGCCGAAAGCCGCATTGAAAATACGCATGAACGTATAGTTGACGTCTTCGGGATACTTCTCACCGGATTTGAATTCGAATGAGCCATTATAACCAGCAAGAAATCCCGACAAGCCAACTAGCATCTTCCCCAGAGGCGGGTGTACATCAAAATAAAATTCGCGCTTCAGATAGTGTGAGCCAAATTTTCCAAAGCTGCATATTATTATCAGGACAAGACGTTAGCACCCTTTACTGGCAAAAAGAAAGATTAAGATAGAAAGGTTTTTGGTCATACTGTGCCTCATCCCATGTCACGATATCTGAACGACCAATTTGATACATTCGAGTGAAAATTGCCAGAGCAGTCAGAAAGAGAGGCGCAAATATAGGCTCCCAGCTGGCCACCGCCGAACGAAACGAGGAGGGCTAAGACACGCGTCAATATTATCGGCTATCAGGTGCAGTAAAGCTTTATGAAGCTTCGGTCTAAGGCGAGCATCATACCTCTTGCTTTGATTTCTTGGCATCATATGCATCATGATCAGGAGCACGGCTGGGCTCCTGCGTAAGAGGGGCAGTTCTGCGCCGCACTTCAGAGGAGAGATCAACCCCAGAGCTTGACGCCTGATTTACTCCCGCCATGATTGCGGTATAATGAGCAGCTAAACAAATGCAGGGACAGGGAGTGGCGAAAGAGAAAGCAAGTAGAGTGTATCAGACTGCCACAGGAAGCTGGTTGAATGTAGAGCAGCTCGCTGGGATTGACTTCAGGTGTGAGTTGCAAACATTTCTTATGAGAAAATCACAGTGATTGGTCTAGCGTGCAGTACTCCAGCTTTTGTTGAGAGTCTGGAGAGAAGAAAGAAGAAAAAAGAGAGGGGCCGATGAGAAGGTACCTTGAGAACACAAGGCAAAAGTATGGAGGGGAAATCAGGATAGATTGAGCAGACACCGCTTAACCAGGGTCAAATGGGTAAAGTAAGGTAAAGAATGGAAGGTTTGTTAAAATGATAAAGGCAATCTGAAAATTTGAGGCAATGAAAGGGAAGAATAGAAAGATCGAAAGCAGAAGAAAAGGGGTCGAATGTTGAGGGTGGGAAAGAAAGTCAGCCTCTCGAAGGGTTCCCTACTCAGAATGTAAGACGGAGTGGAAGCGCAAATGGCGAGTTGGCCTGGAGATAACACGGAAAGCTCGGGCGCGTGGCCTGAAAGCTCCGTTCCGCCTGGGCCACTTCTGAAACCTCGACTGCATCCTCCGTCTTGTTCGTCGGCAATGACGGCGAATTACTGAAAGAGGTATAGCGTGTCTAATGGGGGCAGGCATCTATGTCACTGCCATTTGTGGCATCATATATGTGTGTGACCTCTACAATAGAAATTGTACTGACTGTTCAAAGGGTGATTAACCTTCCCATCCTTGGACAGAAATCTGGTCCCAGATGCTTCGAAGTGGCTTTGCTGTTCAACTGGTTCTCCAATTTTCCCCATACTTGTCTAGCCGGGCTTGATTACTGTCATGATTCATCACCGTCGTGCCTCACTGTCGCGGATTAAAGATTTTGAAGAAGTGTGATGCAAAAACGGAGATTGCCGTAGGTTGGTGATTCCAGCTTTTGCTGCTCTCCTTCAATTCAAACTGGACTGAGTATCACCAGTAGAACAGGCATCTGACAGTCTATTAACGAAAAGTACTTATCAGGCAGGTACCATGGAGTCGATGAAGTTTGCCTTTTACGGTATTTTGCGAAAGTTCACGGAGACGAAAGCCAATCTGTCGAATTGAATGCGATTATGCAACGCACAAATTATGAATGGGAACATTTTGGTTGAGTCAGCGTATCCTACCTCACCGGCTGTTGGTTAGACATTCCATGTTCGAGTGTAAAGGTTCTCCACCTCTATTCAGGGAGGAGGAAGGCGGTGTGATCTGCCTGGTGATTAGCTTCAGGGCATGAGGAGCCACGGACAATTCGTAGATGGTTCGGGGTATAGATTGATAATGAATGAATCTGCGTGTACGCAACGAGGGTCGTAAACCCGAACCTAGACGAATAACGTCTACGCTAGCACTATGAGAGGCAGGGTGCTTCAATTGACATAGGGACACAAGTGCGTGCCATGGTAAGCTCCCCAAGCTTCTCATGTATCTAGGTCTGCATAAAACGTACGAAATGATGTTTTTTTTTTTTTTTTTTTTTTTTACTTTTTTCGAAAATCTCGTTGGTACTATAATATGCAAGGGGACCAGTTTTCTCTAATCGTTTATTACCACCCTTCCACATCGATGGATTGTGGTAGCATATTATGCAAGTCAGAGAACTACCTCTGAGCCTGAAAGGCCCGTGATAATACTGGGTCTTCGAGATGATAGTTGCACGCGGATTCTCATTTCTGAAGTCACGGAGTAGCAGATGGCGCGATATGTGCCTCACGCTTCAAACATTTCACAAACTGTCATGTTTTAGAACCTATTCTGGGGCGTGGTATACGTCTCGGTATATATTTACATGCATACATGTAGATGATGTCAGAAAAAAACGGTGCAGTAAATCGAAATAGAGCCTCGACAAGATCAGCATATGCGAGACCAGGGTCGAGAATATCCTAGTATCAGTCCACGAGAAAAGGAAAAGAATACAGTTAAGTCGGTGTACATAAGGATGAAAAGAGAAAACAAGAGTGAAAGAGGTAGGTACAGCAACAGGATGTTTATGTCTGTATCTGTTACATGAGACTGGACCATACGCGGTGGCCCTACTCATTCTCCTCCTGCCCAAGACGTCTATACTGACCGGCCTGTCCTGTTGATTCCGATCCTTTGTGTCGGGTAATCATATTCGAAATCCAGCCTCCAAAGCCCTCTGGTCGACTACTAGTGTCTTCCCGGAAGCCTGTCCTGCCAGGCTTGCTGCCGGTACTAGAACTTACATTCGGTGGGTCAATGTCCAAGCCAGGAATGGCGCTGTCTGCCCCCAGACGGCCATACTGGCGTCTGATGTCAAGCGAAGGTACAGGAGAGCCTGCACTCATGAGAGAGCCACGTTCTCCCTGAGTTGCTGGTGTTGGCATGGCAGTAGTTGCATCCCCAAACAGCAGATTCATGTCTTCCAAGCGGACACCACTCGTTTCCGGATATAAAAAGTAAACTGTGGTAATGTATTAGACTTTTGGTCAATTATGGGAAAATTGACATGGCGCTTACCCAGGACAAAGCTGCAGGCACAGAAAAACGCATGCACCAGGTACAAGCGCCACTTGATAGCAGCTTGTAAAACAGGCGTGACCTCTCCGACAAGCCAATTAAAAGCCCAATTAGTGGCTGTACTAAGACTTGCGCCTTTTGCACGAATGCTCAATGGGAGAATTTCCGGTGGGTAGAGCCATGGTATGGGTCCCCATGATGCACCAAAAGCAGCATTGTAGATCATGACAAAGATGACAGTGAGAGTAGGTGTTGCCACGACGTCGATATATATGAAATAGGAAATCAGGGAGAGTGAAACAATCATTGCCACCGCTCCAGAAAGAAGGATGGGGCGCCTGCCCCAGCGATCCACCAGATACCATGGAGGTACTGTAGAGGCCAGATACGAGATTGCGTTGATCCCAGTCATTAGGATAGCGTCACGGCCAGCCCAACCTGCTGATTCGAATACAAGCGGGGCGTAATACGAGATGACGTTAATACCGTTGAGCTGAGCTAAGGCCTGTGCCGACATCGCTATCAAGACCCTTTTGTAGTAACGCCTGAACATATCAGCGTAAGATCTTTCGCCTTCTTGCCTTTGCAGAAGAACATTCATCTTGATCTCTCTATACTCTTGTCTGGCTTTGTCACTGTGCAAGTCTCCACTTCCATATAGATTTGCAATGACAACCATACCCTCTTCATCGTGGTCATTGTCCAACAGCCACCTAGTCTTGCGTTAGCATGGTGAAAAGCTAAGTTTTCTCCTGCATCACGCATGGACTCACCTTGGAGACTCGCAAATGATGAGGCTACCCACACCAAGAAGAGCACCCATGACGCACTGGAACAATAATGGTAGGCGCCACGAGTAGTTACTTTCTATAAAGCTACAGAAATAATCCACCCAGACGCTGGCTGCGTATCCGGAGATGTTCCCTGTAAACTCGATACATGCCAGTTTCCCTCGGTTGTGGGGAGGCTTAGAGAACATTAGCAAAACGACCGAAGCAATATGCAACAAGGGTGATTGTGAATACCGATATCTCAGACTGGTAGACAGGTACAATTGTCGATAAGGCCCCAACGCCCAAACCTGCGACGATTCGACCGGCCATCATCATAGGCAACCCGGTAGCAAAGGCCTGCAATGCACCGCCAATAAAGAATACTATGGAGCCATACAAGATCGTTTTGCGGCGTCCGATTAAGTCGCCGAGTCGACCGACAAGTAGAGAAGATATGAAAGCCCCTACTTCGAGGATCGCAACCACCGTACCTATTGCAGCTCGCGAGGGTTGATTGAAGTAATCCTTGAAATACCAGCCTCTGGTCGTGTGTCAGCAAAGCCCTCCATTCCGTTGAAGAAAGAGAAGACGGACGTTATGATCCCAGACATAACACCTTGATCATAGCCAAAAAGGAAGACGCCCAAGGATACGAAAACACTCGTAAAGTACCTACATAGCTGGTCAGCAGAGCTAGTAGGTAACATTTGTCGATGACGAAACCCTCTTACAGTAATGGCTTCCCAACCAAGCCATGCAAGTGTGCGCTTTGTCGATTATTGGGTGACATTATGACAGCTAAGAGGCGCTCTGCCCGAGGAATCTTCCGGGGTGGAGGGCAGGGTATTTCAATCTTCTCAAAGTCGTCTTCGCCGATAACAAGCTGGCTGGGGTAATGGACACGATTCTGTTTCTCGGTCCGTACACTGGATTCCACCCGACCAGAGCTTTCACGATCTTCAGAGCTTCTGAGTGGGATCCGAAGATAATCTTCGGCATTAGCAAGCTGTTCCGTCAGATCCCCACTGTCCGTCCAGGTAAAATGCTCAGACCCAGTGGAGTGAGTCGCTATAGAGGAAGAGCGTCGACTGCTCCTCCCACTAGCAGGTTCTACTACCTTAGCGGGTTGAGGGACAGAGGACCTTGAACTTGAAGGAAGATTTTGCAAGGGTATGCCAGAGGAAGTATGGGTCGGGGTCGTTGTGAGAGGAATGTTGGCGGTTGTAATGGGCTGGGATTTACAGCCCCCCTTTCTTGGTTGAATATTAGCTTTTTTCTTTCTGTCACCACTCTTTCACGCGACCAGAATATAAGATCGCTGCGAGTAAAAATCAGGGAGAGCTGGTAATTTTCGTAACGCTCCGCAACAATCCGAATTGTGAGTTTTCATCAAAGCGGCATGTAAAGACAACTGCTAATCTATTTGGAAGGGATGGATCAGAAGGACAGCGGTGCAGAGTAATCGCTGCAATAGGATGGAAGACCACGCGCCAAAGCGGAGACAAGCGAGTGAGGTGAACCAACTGTTCACAAGGATACCGAAAGGGTGTAGAAAGCGGTGATGACAATCCTTGGGGGGTTTGCTCACGAGACAGGCAATACTTGGCAGATCAACAGCGCAGGATGACGGTGCCCGGAGGTCCAACAGCCTAAAAATGATCAGGTGAAAAACTTAAGAGGGGAGAAAGGAAAGCAAGATGAGCTAAGGCTAAATAGCATATGTTTGACAATCAGTCCAGAGGTAACCTTTGGCTTGTGTACATAAATCCGTCCCAAGGTTGCTTGCTGGGTTTCCCAGGGGGACTAAGCCATGATTTAGGGAGGCAGCTGTCAAGCCATCGATGTGACTACCGTTACGTACCTTGATGGGGTTGTCGGAGACCCCGCAAACACTGACGCTAAGTGGGTACGAGATTGTGCCCAGTAAACTAGACTACATACGTAGTACTTTAGTGTACCAACAACCATGTTACCGGCAGTGCCCATCAGCGATTCCATCTGTGGCGGTGCGATCAACGAGGGTACCCTTCCAGTTTACGAAGATCAAGATGACTTAATATGAGGCGCGGTATTTCATGATTCTCACCTACAAGGGTCGTTATTCAATTCTGACTATCTATAACATCTCATTTGGTGGTATTGTTTCAATGATACTGTCATGCAAGGCATATCTTTGGGTGGATCCCCTTCGAGCCTAGATTATGTGAAAAGAGCCCATATAGACCCAGGAATCAGTATCGTATCGTTGATCTCTGTATTATACACTCCTATATATAGACCTGTAATTGTAGGCTTGTGGTGTCTCGGCTAATTACTCGTGATACAACGAAATGCTTCAAAGGAGTGACGCAAAGCTGGCTGGTCATTGCGGCTATCGTCTGGAGCACACAAGTAGACAGACTCCTTGTATGTATTAGCAGATAATTATGATTCGTCCGTAGGACATTGTTTTTTAGAAACATTGTTGTTTATCGCCTGTTTTGATTCTAGTAGATAGTAATCATAGCACGGGTAGCCCCTTTGCTACTCGTCGTTACTATGTATACCTAGCTTTCATGGACCACGAGCGACAACGAACTCTTATCATCTTGACAGTTTCTATCCGAAATCAACTTAGCGGTTATACCGAACACACTACACATCGTTTCTCGATAGCCAATGGCTTTTTCTTCCCCTTGGGGGAAGCGCAATGATTAAACAAGCATATTTATCATGTCAAAAGAATGTCATAGCCATCTTTCTGGATATATACAGCGTCTGCCATATTAGCGTACTTACGACGCACCAGCTCGAATATCACCAAGCCTGCACTAGTGCTAGGTACTTGACGGATGGCGTCCCTTGCAAACCCACGGAACAGCCAACGACGCCAGCCACCTGCTCTGGATGCCTTTCTCCTGCATCTCTTCAAGGTTTCTTGGTATGCAGAGTAATACAGGCGTAGCATTTCCCGTCTTGAAGGATGAAGACTCGCTTGATGGTCAATGTATTCCAGGCGAGCAACATGGAGACTTTGGATAGCACTTAGCGGGTGCTGTATACTCTGTTGAGCAACTGAAGCTGCAACACCTGCAGCCATCAAGAAACATGGCTCCAGAGCATAATGTGGTCTTATGAGCGGTACGCCGCGGTCACTCGATTGGATGTGCTGTAAATGTTCCGCGTAATGAGTCCGCCGTGAGCCGTAGTACCAGGTCAGAAATGAATAGTAGGCCTGCGACTTCACGAACTCGAAGAAAGAGAAAAATACTGCATAACCAAAAGCGTCGCGAGTAAAGGATAAACCCCACCCTGCGAATATACCACGAACTCCAATTTGATTGAGTTTATGGCGGCCATAATGCCACATGCTCTTGTATGGGCCCTCAAGCAAGTCACTCGCTCGGAGACGGACCTGAAGCGCATCCAGAGGAGCGGCTACTACTGACTGAATTGTACCCGCTATAAACCCAGCTGCAAATGTGTTTGAAGGGGGAGCAGGTGGATATACGCGTTTGATGCCTTGGGACGCAGGTTCGTACAAAGCGCCAAGGACTTGTAAATATGACGTGTAAAGGACGGCTCCAATTCTATCTATAACAGTTAGACAACCCAGGCAATTAAATTTGAGACTAGGTAAACCAACCCAGCATTGGCTAGGAGAGGTGGCATAACTTGATTAGGGATGAAGCGCCACCCATATGTGCGAACGGCATGGACAAGTAACCCCGGAGTAGTTGTATGCAGAGACCAACCGGTTTTCGCAGAATGAGGATTGACAGCTCTAGCGAAGGCCTAGCGAAATAACAGGAAGAGCCATATATATCAGTTGACATGGACTCCAGAGATCAGTGCAACCGGGCCGGCGAAGGAACAATGCAACCGCATACCATATAACTGAACAAGAGCATGGGCTGTCAGTGACTGAAGGGACATTACTTATGAGACAGTCTAGTATCATACTCAACTCGGGTGCGAAAAAATGCCTTAATAGGTGCTCTGAAGTAGAATGCAACCAATTGTGCACTAAGAGCCCGCACCCCCGCAGCAGAGGCACCAGTAGCTGCATTCTGTCGCGATTTTCTGCGGGACGGATTCCCCGAGTCCAAGCTCGAGGTATGATCAAATGCGGGTAATGTCTGAGTAGTGGCCATGCTGAGGCGTGTGAGAAAGCATTAGAGGTGACAGTTTATCAGTGATATACAAATATAAGCATAGCGCTTATTCCAATGACATTGCCAGCCCGCGCTGCAAGATTCCATGAAAGATGTCCTAACTAGAGGCACATCATACACTGAATGAGGGCTAACTCGTAAGGTGAGGATAGCTATGATGAAAACTGTTGATGACTAAATAGAATGGCAGCTTCATATGAGGAGCTAGAAGTGAATAGCCCACGAGATACTGAAGAAGTCAATGTCCGAGATGAAATATTTAGCCTTGAGGTGGAGAGGTACTAAGCATGGAAGGGTACCAATGAGCAAACAAATCAAACACCGCTGATTTGTCAGGAACACTTGAGCGAACGCGCCTTCGGAGGTTTCGCGTTTGCGCTACCCTATCTTAGTTTCTTCTACAGAAGTAAGAGCTAGTCGATGAGTCTCAATCTACTTTCTTCCATTGCTCAAGTGAAGATATCCTCTAGTATATCTCTTTCTTTACCTTCCGCAAATCTGGTACATTGAATTTCTCAATACGAAACTTCGCTCACTGACCTCCACTAAATCTCACCCTACCTTCTAAGGTTCCTACGGGGACTTTCTGCACAAGCTGAAGTGTTTACGCCAAGCTGGCAGGCTGCACCGATTGATACACTCAAATCATGGCCGAAGAGATTGTGATAGACAAATCTACTTTCTTCAATAGATTATCAAGCTTCTATAATGCATGGAAAGCCGACAAACGATCTAGTCATGCCAATTTCGGTGGTGTGTCGTCGATTGTGATCCTAATGGGCAAAACCGACGAAGCGAACAGCTTTCAGAAGAACAACGCAATGCACGTATGTCTTTCATTACCCCTTAATCCTATTCTTGTCGGCTCACCTGCCATCATAAATAGTTCTGGCTCCTTGGCTATGAATTTCCCGCTACGCTTCTTGTTTTTACGACGGAGATGGTGTATGTGGTGACTACCGCGAAGAAAGGTGAGTTCTTTCATAAGATATAAATTTAGCATGGCCTCGATTACTGACAGGCACATTTTGTTTGCAGCCAAGCACCTTGAACCCTTGAAAGGTGGCAAGATTCCGGTGGAGATATTAGTGACATCCAAGACTCCAGATGAGAAGATGAAATCTTTCGAAAAGTGCATTGACGTTATCAAAAATGCTGGTGTGAGTCCTACTGTCCTCAGCGTTAGCAATCTTGGATGGAACTGACTGCCCTGAAATGATAAGAAAAAAGTTGGCGTATTGCCGAAAGACACAACCGCAGGTCCTTTCGCAGAAGATTGGAAGAAGGCTTATGCAACATTGTCAAATGAAGTCGAGGAAGTGGATATTTCGCCCGCTCTTTCAGCTACTCTCTCTGTCAAGGATACTGATGAATTAGTAAGTTTTACATGTCTTCGGAGGTGTGACTGGCTGACACGACAAAGGTATCTATACGTAATGCATCGCGGGCATGCAGTGGTCTGATGTCTGAGTACTTCGTGGATGAAATGTCCCGCCTACTTGATGAAGAGAAGCAGATGAGCCACAAAGCTCTTTCAATGCGGATTGATGCGAAAATAGACGACGCAAAATTCTTCAACAAGTTAGCGAAATTGCCGGCCGAATTTGACCCCCAACAAATCGATTGGGCATATGGACCAGTGATCCAAAGTGGAGGGAAATATGATCTCAAGCTGACTGCGATATCCGACAACAACAATTTGCAGCCGGGGATAATAATTGCTGGCTTCGGCATTCGTTACAAGACCTACAGTTCGATGATTGCACGCACCTACCTAGTTGACCCGACGAAAACTCAGGAGGCAAATTACGCCTTTCTACTAAACGTCCGCGAAGCGATTTTGAAAGACGTCCGTGACGGGGCCGTGGCTAAGGACCTATACAGCAAGGCGATGAATATGGTTCGGACAAAGAAGCCTGAGCTTGAATCTCATTTCCTGAAAACTGTCGGCGCTGGCATAGGAATTGAGCTTCGAGACGCTAATATGGTTCTTAACGGAAAGAACGATAAGGTTTTGAAGAGCGGAATGACATTCGCTGTCACAGTTGGTCTGACTGACGTTGAAGACGCGAGCATCAAAGACAAGAATAGAACCGTTTATTCGATGATCATTACAGACACTGTTCGCGTCGGAGAAACCGGGCCTCTGGTGTTTACGAAAGATGCTGGTGTTGACATGGACTCTGTATCGTTCTACTTTGGGGATGAAGAAGAGCCACAGAGACCAGTAAAGGAGAAGAAGGAGGCGAAATCAAGCTCTGTTGCCAATAGGAATGTTACGAGAACGAAGCTTCGTGCTGAAAGACCCACTCAGATTAATGAAGGTGCCGAAGCACGGCGACGTGAGCATCAAAAGGAGTTGGCTGGCAAAAAGACCAAGGAAGGTCTGGACAGATTTGCCGGTACGACTGGCGATGATAACGGAGTCACACAGAAAAAGTTCAAGAGATTCGAGTCTTACAAGAGAGACAATCAGCTCCCAACGAGGGTGAAAGACCTAACCGTTTATGTAGATCAGAAGGCTTCCACGGTTATTGTGCCAATTATGGGTCGGCCAGTACCCTTCCATATTAACACGATCAAGAATGCTAGCAAGAGTGACGAGGGAGAGTATGCGTATCTCCGAATCAATTTCCTTTCACCGGGTCAAGGCGTGGGCCGAAAGGATGATCAGCCTTTCGAAGACCTCTCCGCCCATTTTCTGCGCAATTTGACACTCCGGTCCAAGGACAACGACCGACTGGCCCAGATCGCTCAAGACATCACAGAACTTCGAAAGAATGCTCTGCGGCGGGAACAAGAGAAGAAGGAAATGGAAGATGTGGTAGAACAAGACAAGTTGGTTGAAATCAGGAGTAAGTATTGCTACTCAACCATCTGAATGCACGGGGACTGACTAGATTAGATCGTCGTCCTGTAAAACTGCCTGATGTATACCTTCGGCCTCCTCTGGATGGTAAACGCGTTCCAGGGGAAGTTGAGATCCATCAGAACGGTCTTCGTTACATGTCACCTTTTCGAAATGAACATGTAGATGTCCTGTTCAGCAACGTGAAGCACCTGTTTTTCCAACCTTGCGCTCACGAATTGATCGTTCTGATACATGTTCATCTGAAAACACCTATTATGATAGGGAAAAGGAAGACTAGAGATGTGCAGTTCTACCGGGAGGCAACCGAAATGCAGTTTGATGAAACCGGCAATCGTAGGCGCAAGCATCGTTATGGGGATGAAGAGGAGTTCGAAGCCGAACAGGAAGAGAGACGGCGGAGAGCCGCTCTGGATCGGGAGTTCAAGGCTTTCGCCGAAAAGATTGCAGATGCCGGAAAAGACGAAAGCGTGGATGTTGACATCCCTTTCAGAGAAATTGGTTTCACTGGCGTACCAAACCGCTCTAATGTTTTGATCCAACCCACAACAGATGCTCTTGTCCAATTGACAGAGCCGCCCTTCCTGGTGATTACTCTGAATGAGGTAGAGATTGCTCATTTAGAGAGAGTACAGGTAAGTGCGAATTTTACCACTGGTATTTTACTGCTGCTAATGTCACCAGTTTGGACTCAAAAACTTTGACCTGGTTTTTGTTTTCAAGGATTTCCACAGGGCCCCTGTTCATATCAATACAATCCCTGTCGAATCGCTAGAGGGTGTCAAAGACTGGCTAGATTCTGTTGATATAGCTTTCACAGAGGGTCCACTGAACTTGAACTGGACAACAATCATGAAGACAGTCGTAAGTGACCCATACGGTTTCTTCGCTGATGGGGGCTGGTCATTCTTGGCCGCAGAGTCGGATTCAGAGGGCGGATCAGACGAAGACGAGGAGTCCGCGTTTGAGCTTTCTGAATCAGAGCTGGCGGCCGCCGACGAGAGTTCAGAAGACGACAGTGAATTCGACGATGATGCCAGTGCCGAGGCTAGCGATGACTTCAGTGCCGACGAAGAGAGTGGTGAAGACTGGGACGAACTCGAAACGAAGGCAAAGAAAAAGGACAGGGAAAGTGGTCTGGATGATGAAGATCGTGGGAAAAAGCGCAAGCGATGATCTGGTCCCGCATACTACATGACAGCCAGCTGTGAATTTCGAACAAGTGGCCTTCAATTTGCATCAATCGCTATTTAATACTTGAATTGTACGAGATGTTCATGAATTGTAATCGTCAGTTCCCAAGGAACTCGAGGGGCCAGGAATGAGACATTAATATTCGTGCTGCCATTCTTTTCTATCTATAGCTGGTATATGTGCAAATTATATATACCCCTGCATGCGTCCTCCGTCACTTCCCTTCCCGCATAGCGGACCACATGCTCCTCATCCTCTCAGCTTGATCTGGAGTAAAACTCTCATAACAGTCATCAGATGAATAGTCCATAAAATTATGGATTGCATCAAGGCCAGGAAGATCTGGGCATGAATCCTTCTCGGCGGGGCATCCGCTCGTAGGCTCCGATTGCTCAGGGGTGTCATCAATGTAATCTCCTTCATTATCAGGGGAGCACGATTCACCTTCGAACGTGTGCAGCAGCCCATTCCAATGGCCAACCTCATGAACCGCTGTGCCGCCCTGGTTGTACTGCGCTAAACTACCACCCGGCATGGTATCGGCTAACACGTTACAACCATCCTTGATGTAACTAGAACGAGGGCTGCTGGAATTCACGCTCGGATCAGGCAACGTACAGAAGCCAAGGACAGTTGTTGATGATTGACCCGATACATCTGTTCGTCGATTGCCGTTATAGGGGAAGCCCCGAGAAGTGTCGTCGGAAGACGCCTGAAGATCTGTTTGGAAATAGACATTCAAAGTGCTATAATTGCCCCTTCGTAGGGCATTCTTCATCCCCAATTCGTCATCATTTCGCGCCCAAGAGTCATTTATATGACGAGTAATGCCCTCCAACCGATAGCTGATAGTCGCACTTTCATATGCCTTCTGAAGATAGGAAAGCTAGGAGTTGTTAGTCCAAAACAGGATATTGCGCAGGCATAAGCCAACAAATCAACGGTGACGGACCTGACTGGTGATCATGTCGTCTGATACTGCGTTGGATGCTTCATTGCTGCTTACGATATGAAACCATGTCTCGATTTCAATCATAGACACCACCTCCCGGCTTTCCTCAGCGGTGCTGCCACGTTGGGCCTGTAGATCATACAATCTCCTGTGCTCTGCTCGGAGTGACTCATCGGGCGCCGGTGTGGAGCAAAAGTCACGTCCAGAGAGCTGTGCGCTGCATCTGGTTGAAAGATTGGCAAAAACAATGGCGGTAAAGAGCGCGTGTAAGTTGAGTAACAATGTCATATTGTGTATAGGGCAGTGAAGGTTTTCTATTGCACCGAAGACAAGAGACGAGGTGAGAGATATAAGATCATAAGCCTCATTGCCAACCGTTACGTGGAATCTGTAAAGATCCCAAACAATCCCCCGTGTCAGGAATGCTGCATGCCAGGGAAATGTCCCACAGAAGGGATACACGCGTTTCGCCGAGAAGATTGACACTCTCCCAGATCGCGCCAACAGGAAGGGCACAGCGACTAGCAGGTGCGGTTTATTTTTCCTAGATAGACAGATGTGTCGAAACTATCATAAAACATAGGCCCACGGGAAATACCTGTGGGTATCAGATCCTGTTTAGGAACGCCACCTACAAACGCCTAGTAAAGATTCACATTGTAAGTTAGGTCCGTAGACCAAGAAGAGCATGAGCAGAACCAACATCGATGAACAATAAGGGGAAAATGAAAGTATGCTTCTTAAGTAGCATGAGAACCAAATCTGCCATCCCGCCCGGTTGCCACAGCCGAGCTCTCCTGCTCATTGTTCCAGGTCAAGTAAGTGTGATCGCCAAGTTTCCTAATAAATCAGCCTAGGCACGGACAAAACACGTCAAGTTCACCAAATCTCCTTACCTCGGCCGAACAAGATGTGCAATGGTAAATAATGCCCCGAGAACAATGCATAGTCCACCTACAACGACGTAGGCAATACCCATGAATGGGTTTTGCCCGCCCATCACAGTCCGCGTTGATATGAGTATCGATTTAGTACCTCCGTACTCGGTGACAGGGAAGCCTGTGCGCGTTTTAGCGTTGACCTTGATGTTAAGTTGAATCTGGAAGCTTACGGTCTTCAATGTCCAACTGATAAATTCCTGCAGTCATTGCCGTTGTGTCGTTTCTGCGGGATAGCTTACTGAAAGCCGGCAGCGCAGCAGTTCTCATCCATACCATAAACTCTTCGTCTTCATGAAGATTAGGTATACCGTCGACATAACCGTTAGGGTATCGATCGTGCCAATTAGGCGGAGGAACCACCTGCCACTTATTATACTGAGTCTTCTTGATGAGCTGCTTGTCACTGTCCCAAGCAATGCCTTTATTAGTCATGTTGTAGGTCTCAGCAGTTACACCATTGTTGATAAGCTTTGGGCTGCGGATGGTATCGTTAAATTGAGAATTGGCTATAAGGCCGCATGGATAATATGCTTTGCCAGTTGAGGGGTCAAGTTTGAGGGGGTCACAAGAGCCACCATTTATGGTGTTGTTGTCAACTGCTTTTCCTTTCAACTGATCTGTGTCCATGGACTTAACGTATCTCCGATGGTTTTGATAGAAGTTCGTTAAGCGATAATATAGAAGCACAGGCGGCTCCAAGGTATCCGGAATCTCAAACATCAATCGACAGACTGTAGTTCCGCTCTCATTGAATCTTTGCCACGTTGGAATGGAATTATCGCCTGATGATTTGAAGGAAGATTTAACTTGGTCTGAAATAGAGGCTGCATAGGAGGTGGGCGCCTTCTCAGCACATTCAGAATAGTCTATGACAATCTCTTGTACCTGATGATCGCTCGTCGGTTATTGAGAAGAAACTCTATGGTAGGTATTACATACCTGTGAACTGGCCCATAGCAGGAGACCACCAATGGGGGCGAATATCACACCAATAACAAAAAAAAGAGGCAGTACGCTCTTTGGGGTCAATATTGGTCTATATGCGTCAGCACGAGGGCAAAGTATACCATCAAACTAACTTACTGCCAGGCTTTCAAGCGCTGCTGTCTGAACGCAGTATCTGTGGTAATAAACTAGAGTTAGTAAAGAATGGCCCATCTCATTCACAAAGAGTCAAAAGTCTCACTTGCTGGTCTCCTGTTCTTAGACTTCTTATCGTCAGCTCCCCCCCTATGTTCTTGCTCGTCCAAAGACTCCGCACGGGTCGCTTCGGGATGGGACATTGTTGTTCAAATCCTCCATTAAATGTCCTGGGCAATTACTATAGCAGTTGCAGAAGCAGTAGAAGAAGTGATATTTTGAGAGAGTTATTATAAAGATGGATAGAGAGTGAGGATGAATGATGGTGGCGCAGGCTTAGCAGGCGACGGGATTGCGTAATTGGCGGGCTTTGACATCCCGATATCCGCTTGGGGGATACTGTTACATTGTCATGAACATTACTTTTTGTCCTCGGACGCTCCGAAACTTTTGATCCGCTCAAAAGCAGTGCATGAATTGTTACTGTTACAATATTGACTATGCTACCCCAGTGTAAACTTATTGTTGGAAACATGTCAATTGAGCAACGAGAAACAATCTACCACTCTAATGAAAACTAGACGCCATGGCAAGCCGTCGGCATAATGATCGGGAGAACGACATGAGAAACAAAACCTAACCTATCGCAGCCAATTGTTCCAGCCCTTGAGAAACAATAACGCCAGACAAAAAAAAAACTAAGGGTAATTGAAAGCTGTCTGAAGACGCCAAGTGTTGAATCGAATCAATAACATCCGTATTTGATGGCCTAACGCAGCGAAAGGAAAATGGGGAAAAGAAAAGAGCAATATAACACCGTATGCAGCCTTGCCACTTGTTGCAGAGAATCCAGCTATGCTCAGTGACAAATGTAAGTACCGTATCAATATCCGATGGCTAATTGACGGGCGCGAAAGTTGTGAGTTGAGAAATGCAATTGGACTAATGATGGTACAGGCATGCGACCACGTCTCTGACGCATCATTACCAGTATATCAATGGGGAAGGCAGGTCATCGGGATCCACAGGGTTCAACAGTTCCAAGCATATTATCTTCGATACTGTCGATACTGTCGAAAATGTTCGGGATCGAACCAACCAACCCGCTCATACGCCGTCCAGAGCTTGCTTGCTTTATTGACATCAATCTTGCAAGCCTGCTGAGCATCGGTCTTCCGAAATTCCTTACCAACATTCAAAGCCTTCACGCGGGCTTCGAAAATGCGACGCTTGCTGCATAGGTAGGTCGCACATGAAAGCCTTAAAGTAGCAGCAAGGTTGAGCTCTGCAGAGCTCAGCAAATGCCGATCCGGATCATGGCTGAGATCTAACACTTGGCCTTTCCAATCTGCCTTTAGTGCCTTTGCGTTGCCTCCAAGGGTCTCTATTGAGGGGCAATAGTCCTTAATGGAGTTGTAATCTGTATCATCCCGGTTTGTGCCTATGGCGCGAGGCGGCTTGGCACTCGACGGGGGTGAGTCAAATGTATCGAGGATCCTTTGCTTCGGTGTGGACTTTGGCGTCCGCTTTACCCTTGGTGTCCGTTGCAGACGAGGCTGGGCAGCAACTGCCCTCTTTGCGGGAGCCGGAGCGATCTTCTTCAGCTTCGCATCTATAGCACGTGGACGACACCGATTCATCATCAAAAGCTGGCGTTCTAAGGTCTCCCGCTCTTCCCTAGCCCATGCTGCTGGGTTCCGGTTAAATTGAGCAGATACAATCGGCACGCATGAAAGAGCTAGAAGATATTCGTCACGCGTCGGCTTGTTAAGTTTATTTTCAAATCTCGCCATGTGAGAATTTATATGCTGGTCAACCAACGCTTCCGCCGATGGGGGGAGCATGGACCCAAACAACGGCTCATCAGTGGCAATATCAGTAAGGCCTTCGTGGCGGGGAAAGAGAACAGGGTCCCTGGAGGAACCGACGACGGCATCCTTATCAATCGGTTCTGGTCCATTCGATCGCCGTTTCTTATTCCCAGTATAGGGAGTGACTGGCGGCGATGGCAAGTTCATTTCCGACTGTGTTCGCTTGTGATCACTCGGCATGGGAGGAAGCCTCACTTCATGGTTATACGGCGGATCCTGGGCCATTGTATACGGTGAGATTGTGGTGGGACTGAAGCTCTCGAGGGGCTTAGTCTCTGGGGGGGACATTAAACTCGAAACAGACGGCAGACGACTCATATTGACCTTATCACCACGACTGGGCAAAGAAGCAGCAGTGAATGAGGTCATCGCCTGAAACAATCTGATGGTTTGATTGCTTCACAATGGAAAAGTGAGCAGAATATGTGGTGGGACGACTAGCTGAGAATAAATACAACACGAAATCTGCTTCTGAGGTCAGTTTCAGGTAGTCATCTGTTTGAAGGCGAGAGAACGTTTGTACGCTGATGAGATGGTGATATGGAAGTCAATGGAACAGATGTTTGGCAATAATGTTGGCAGACACACGTGCAAATGATTTGTCAGGGCCGCCTCTTTGTCTGGTGGCAATAAATGGATATTGGTTGGGTCTCGGCGATAAGGCTCACAATGGCCGAGTAGGCTAGAGTTACTGAGTATGAGTAATCAATCTATTTCTCCTGGTGTCCCGTATTGCGTGTCCAAGTTTACTCGAAAATTTGGGTTCCTTGAGGAGACAGAATCAATTAAGACTTGTAGGACAGCGAGCTGGTTCCTATCGACGGGTAAGAACCGGCACTCAGGCGTATGAGTCAATGTGCCGGATGGGAACTACTAGTAGCAGTAATGAAATACATCAACATTGTTCATGCGGGGTTGGCGCGTGGCAGTAAAGGGGAACCGTGCCAGCGTCTAATCCCAAACGCCTAACACCGGATAGCTGGGAGCAAGATCAGAGGTTGAGGCTGGTGACCTAGCGCTTGAGCAATTACAAGTCAAATATGAATCAGAAGGAACGGCCTGGCGCTTTGACAGCGAATGATACGATGTTATGGGAAAGCCATATGATGAGAGGGTTTGGTAAATGATCTACCACATGACGACAACAGCCATGGGAAAGCGGGGTCGAGTACTGATTACTGTGTAATAAATAGAAAAAGGGGGGTGGAGCGTAAAGGCTGTTGGCTGTTTGTTTGGGATCCATTGAGGGGCACCAATTCCGTTTAGCGGTGTACCCACCAATGGCTACTTTCTTGTGACTTGGTAGGCTTTCTCCGGCATGTTAGGCTGAAAACTATGACTATCTTCGTACTGTGGACGGACTTAACAAAAGTCAGATCATCTGTTGCTCCATCGCAGCCTAATACAGTAGCTGACACTGGGCCCCACAGATTCCATTGTTGCCTGACAAGTCAGACTGGGCATCATTCATGACCACCTTAGACAGCGTATTGTACACAAAAGGTGGGGAGGGGGTTTACTTAGCCGTCGATGAGAGTTATGATGCAGTGGCTCCGTTGACCCTTGCATGAATAACTAGTGGGGTATATGTACTTACAGTTCTCTGATCAACAGCCGGACAATCAGTCGTCATCTGTCCTTCATAGGTATAGTACAGGCAATGAATATGATTAGTATAATAATCCATATACGGATTACCAACAGACAATTATAACTGCTTGCTTCGCTCGTACTGATTCTGATAAGTTGGCAACCTAAACAAGTTGCCCACTCAGCTGAGTAAGTCCCCAGTCATCATTTCCCCTACATATAACTAACCATCTATCTTACTTAATATTGGCAAAAGGATGTCCGGAGGTGGGCTCCAACAGTCATTAACAAGCACGAGTGGTTTAGTGGTAAGCTTACAATCTTAATAACATAATCAACGGTTGGACAGCCCACACGATTGGGCGGCCCATCTGGTTATCTTTATAAAAGATGCTTTTTTTGAATCTATTATATCTCAATTAATACTGAAGCTAGTTAGTTCTAACTTCATGTATGGATAATAGACATTATAAAGAATAATATATAATCTTTCTTATATAAATTATGTTAATGTATCCAAAATTACAGATAAAATATATATACTGTATTATAGTCAGATACTATTCATATTTATATATATTTTTTACTCTTCTAGGGGTATTAGATGGTTATTTATATTATTTATTATCTATTTATACCATATTGAGTCTTTTAGACTTATAATAGTTAAGTAATCTTGTCCTTGTAAAATTAACTAGATTTATAATTATTATTATTATTAATATAATTTTTTCTCTGCCTGCGGCTTCTATATCTTTTATTAGAATAAATTATCTTATTTTTACAGATATCTATGTATATATATAAATACTGATTTATTATAATTTATACTTTTTATAGGTATATTTAATATTATTGTTATGGGACAGGTCCCTACTGGAGGACTCAGCTACCCGGCCTTGTTGCTGCGTGCTGACTAACTATAATATATAAAATCTTGGAAGCTCTGAGACCCTATTTTAAATTAGAATTATTTTTTTATTTAATAAATAATATACTTTTAGAATCAAGAAGTAATTTCTAATATTATAAATAATTTTTCTAAATAATTTATAAGATAGAGTCTGACTATACAGCTAATAAAATAGATTGAAATAAAATAAAATAAAAGAATAATAAATAATATAATATAATTATAATTTCTCGCTAATCTTATAAGCAGGTTGGAAGAAACTAAATAATAAATAATGAAATAGTAAAATTATTATTAATAAATCTAACAGAATAAGTATAAATAACTGAATTAATATATTATTAAATTACAGAATATTATTAATATATAAACTGTAAATAAAATTTTTATAATATTATTATTTTTTTCTTCTAATATATAATTCTATAATTAAAATTAATATATTTAAAAATCAAGCCCTTTAATAAGCAGAATAAGAGAAATTATTTTAAATTTAAAATATATTTAAATTTTAAATATTTATAAATTTAGTTATATATCCAGATAATATATCTTGAGTAATTTATATATTTAAATAATTAAAGAAAAATACAGAAAAAAGAATTTTATTATAATATTAAGATATAAATAATATAGCTATCCATAAAGAGATAATAAAAGAATTAAATAAAATCTATAAAAATAAGAATTAAAAAATAAAAATTTTAAAAAATTATATCTTTTCAGTAAGGTAATAAGAATTTTAAAACATTTTTAAAAAATTTTAATATTATCTTAACTCAGACAGGTGGTATAATATAAAAAAATATTTTTAAAATTATAATATTAAAGAATTTAATCAGCTATATTTGATTATAAATTATTATTAACTTAGAGAAAAGCTTCTTCTATAAAAAATATTGTAATTAATTTTAATAATATAATTACAATATAAAATAAATAATATTTTAAAAAAATATTAAAACTGCTAGTAGTATATACAGATTTATAATTTTTATAAAATTTTAATAAATAATATAGAAAATGCCATGAACTGGAAATATATTATTTTAATAATAAATAATAAAAAATAAAAATATATAATTTAATTTAAGAACTTAAATTAATATTACTATTATTATAATTATTTTTTTCTAATTTTAATTAAAATTTTTTATAATACCAGCTGCGCTACCAGCCTGGAGCCAGAAAATTTTTTACTAAAAACAGTGATATCTAGTCTGAATTATTTAAAGAAAAAAACAGATTAAATTAAATTATTAAGGATAATAAGAAATAATAATTTAATAGGAAGTAATATCTAGAAGAAGTCTTTTTGTTAAATAAGATAAATATTAATATTAATTTATTAGATTTACAAAATCTGCTAGACCAAGAGAATAAAAACTTTATCATTAAGATTTTAATATTAAATAGTAAATTAATAATATTTATAATATATTCTTGCTGATATCAGTGCCAATATTTATATTTATATAAATATTAATTTCGTTGTTTAAATAAATTACTAATTTTAGATTAATATTATTCTTCTTGAGACTAATTGTATATTATAGACTTTACAATGAATATTATAATATTATTGGTTTATATTATTTAATTTATATTTATAATCAATAGACACTAGTTCTGTAGTATATTATTTTTAATATTTAAATTAAACTTTTATAATATTATTTTAAAATAAATATAATATAATTTTTAAAGTAAGAAATTCTATTAAATGATTAATAAAGATAAGCTAGTATAGTATCATTATTTAATCTATTTTTTTATAAAATAAAATTAAGATTAAATTATTCTAATAAAATTTTCAAGATATTTAATTATAAAATATAATTAATTAGATTTACTAGTAAAGATTATTCAATAAAATTATAATTTTTAAAAAGATAATTAATACTGTATAACAGATACTCTTTTCTAAAATAAAATAAAAAAGATTTTCAATCTACTAGAGTACTTTACAGGAGGTTTTAATAAAAATATATTAAAATTTAATAAATTAAAATTTTTTACATTAAATTTTTAGAACTTCCTGGAATTCCTAAGAATGAAATATTTTTAATTATAGATAATAATAGATGTTGAGTAAAAAAAAATTAAGGTAATTCTTATTAAAGTTACTATTTTCTATAAATATTTAAGAATTTTTAAATTAAGAATATTTTTATAATTTTAATATAATTAAGATGATTCTTACAGAGAAGATAGAGTTCTAAAATAAAATATTTAAATTAATTAAAAAAATAAAATAAACTCTCTTTAAATATTATTATAATTTAATAAATACTTTAAAATAGTTATTTTATCTGCTTTTTAATCTTATAATTATATTTCTAATTGAAAAAAGATAATTTACTGGAAATAATTTTTTTTTAAAAAGTAATTTTAAAAGAACTTGAAGTTGCCTGTAATTATATAATTAAAAGTTTAGTAAAATATTTCATTTAGTATAATTTTATTTATTTTTTTGGTCTGATAGTAAAGAAGTCTGGAAAAAGATTATATTTATATATTGATTATTAAGAGCTTAATATTCTGACCTGTAAGAATTCTTTTTTTATTTCTTTAATTAATAAGATAATAAATTATTTTAAGAATATAAAAATACTTAGAAAAATCTAATATTCATTAAGATTTTTATTATATTTATATGAATTCTGAACCTGAAGACTTAATTATTTTAAATTTTATTATGATATCTTTAAATATTAGATATTATTATCTAAATTTATTAATAACCTAGTAATCTTCTAATATCTTATTAATAAAATTTTTATAGATTTTCTAGGTAAGTTTATTATAATATATATAAATAATATATTAATCTTTTATAAAAATAAAATAAAATATAAATTTTATA